TCTTAATAATAAAGTATCTGATTTTAGATGGGGTACAATTTTTTGTTGCACTGGTGCCCTTAGCTACCTAACCACTGATTGGACTTCTTTGGGTTCATGCCCCATTTTAAGCCAATAGCTTTTTTCAAGCTTAGAGGGCTATAGTCGCCTTCTTCCAAATAAGCATCACGTAAGCGCTTACAAGTGGACCACAAGCAGCTAGTGGGACTTTGACATTAAGTTCTAATAAAACGTCTTCCAATTTAAAATAAAATATTTTGTTATAGGCCCCACTTTGAACCAATTTTATTCGGGAATATGCATCCACTCATGGATAATAGAGATGAAAGAAGCCTATCGCGCATCAAATTGAATTCATTTTCCCACATCTCGACTTCTTAGCGAATGCAAGGAACAAACGAGAAGGAACGTGTGAACGTCTTATAATTATGATCCGATCTTAATCAGATTCGGCATTCTGATAGATATGTTAATTCTCTACTATACTGCGTCTTTAGTTTTATCGTATCTTTAAAATTGTGGCTGCCACAGATTTTCGTCCTTTCAGGGGCGGAAGGGATCGGGGCAAAATTTGGAAATACACTTGTAGCAGTGTGATCACATGAGTCTGGAAACAAAATTTGGTTGCTCTAGGTCTTATAGTCTCTGATAGTCTGAATCCGATCGAATCATAATTATAGCTAGAATGAAGAAATTAATTTTAAGTTGCTTCCCTTCAGCAAGAGACTACTCATTCTCTTTCTCGCTCACACACTCTACCTCGTTATGTACGCGAGCGCCCGCTAGCGGTGAAGATGTAGACTACACATTTTAGTTGTAGATGTAGATAACAGATGCAACAAACAAATATAACCTTTTTTAAAATTCTAATTAAATCATAAGCTCACAAATTTATATACTGACTGAGTACGGGTATAAAAGTAGAGTCGCGTCCCCAGAAGCAACTCACACGTTCCTTCCCGTTTTTTTTTGACTCCAGGATATACAGTTGTGTTCAATGAAATAGTAGTGCCGCACCTCATCACTTTCAAAACTCTTTTTGAGACACTTCCAGTTATCCAAATTGAACAAATGACACCTTTTTAAATAGACTGGACTGTTAGCATTAGAAAACCGAAGAAATATCCATACATTTCAGTTCCATCTTCTTGTTTTACATGACATAAGCCGAATACCCATAAAATATGCTGTTCAATGAAATAGTAGTGTTTTTTTAGAAAATTAAAAAAAACAACGAAACTCAAATAAAAACATATATTTCATGTTCTTCATGTTTCTTAAGCTTTAATGTTTAGTTTTTTATTAATTTGGTTTTCATTGCGAACTTGCACCGGCCGGCTATGGGTCATTAATCTCTTGCCAACGCTTCAATAGGATTTGAGCCAATAATCCATGAACCACTTGCTAAAACTTGGCTCTGGTTCACGGATTTGCAGTTGCAACAATGTATTTGGTATTCCAGCATAAGATTTCGATGAGATTTATGTCCAGTTGGACAGTTGGCCATGAAAAAACGTCGATCTTTTCCGATAAACATCAAATCCTAGCGAGCTTTTCTGGGTATTTTAAGTCGTTATCCTGTTAAAAGATCCTGTTAAAAGATAAGATTTTTTCATAATTGAAAAGAGCTGTTAGTTTCAATGGTAGTGGTCTTTTATTTTATTAGAAAATGTAAGATTTTAATCAAGATCAGTGCTGAAATTTCGTTTTTTTTTCAATTTTAACGGTGGGATCATGGCGCCCATACACACACAAACGCGTAAAAAAGCTTCAAAGATAGTTTAATAAAATGGATCATCAAAACATTTTCCGATTCCTACTAAGTTCGGCTACGCCCCAGCCCGTGCAGCGAAACGAGGATTCAGTGTCGGTCTCCACATTTTCCGTTAGGGAGGCAGAAGCGCACTTGCTTTTCTGCGAGGTAGCCGCGCGCGCAATCCGTCAGCCTCCGCAGGCTGTACCGGAGCAGGGGCGTGCGCGGGAGAGTTGCCGGCGGTGGCAGCTCCGAGGCAGGAGCCATCTGCGCAGGAGGACCTGGCGGTGGTGGTGGAGGTCATGGTCCTGCAGGAGGAGGAGGCGGCGCGGGATCAGGAGCCGAGTCAGGAGCTGGTCAGGCGCTCCAACCCGCAGCGCCAAATCGACAGGCCCGGCGAATGCTCGACGGATTTCCGATCCGGCGCACATACCGTCCAAAGCACTTCAATTCCCTCCAGTGCTACTACTATACTGTATGCCCTGGTCGCTCCAATGGCTTGGGGACATCCGCGAAGCCACCATATCTCTGACCCCTTTCCCTTGCGAGGTCGCAGGAATTGACAGGAATGTCAGGCGAAGGCAGCTATTTCAAGCCCGACGAATGCTCGCCGGACCGTCGCACAGTGGGGCCCTTTCAGCTTGCTAAATTAATAACTTCTGAACGAATCAAGATATCTTTATGAAATAAACTGTATTTGAAAGGAAAAATTTCAAAATTTAGTCTGCGAGATTAAATGGGGCTACAATGTCTAGAAGCTTTACAATAAATAGTCAAAGTTGAACAATGATTCCGGTGAATATTTTCCTGTTTGCGGAAAATGTTAAATGTTATAAGCTTTGTTTTTTTCTATCGATAAATAAAGTTTAATGGTTATTATCACTACATATAATAATTTTAAATTTTATTTTTAATAAAATAAAAAATACATATTTTTATTATAAAACGTATTTCAGAAATTTTGTTTAATAGTTTAATAATCTACCTTGAAAAAATTTCTCATAAATGTCTATACAAGAACTATTTTCCGATTTATTTTAAAAAACATTAAAAAACAGTATGTTTTTGTATTCCCGAAATTTTTTTTTACGTGCTGTTTGCATAATCCTTTACATAAGTTTAAAATCCTACATCGATAACAGTGACGCTACCTCGCACGAAAAACGTCAAGATTTGGATTTTGTATGGGAATTAGAGCTGCGAAAGTCCATTTTTTTTAATTCAAGTCAAAGTTGAAAAACAAACCAAAAACTAGATGGATTTGGATTTATCCAAAGCTTTCAAAAAATTCATTGACTTTTGCCACCTCTTTGCGGCTGAGGCCCCACTGTGGTGGGGTCCTGCTCATATATATATTTATTTATTTTTTATTTATAAAAAAAACCTTATCAATATAAACTAGTTTTTAAGTTTGTATATTATTTGAAAAAAACATTTTTTATAAAATTGTTTATACCAATTCTTTGCATATAAGTACATATGTATAAATATATATTAAAAAAAATAAATATGTATAGAAAACTTCTCTGAAAAATAGGAATTTATTGACAAAGTCGAAAGCCGACGGCATTTGCACAGTGTTTATGTACATACACAGTGCAAGTGTGCAATTTCAAATAATTGAAACAAGTAAAATCTTTTTTTTAATATATTTGATTTATTTCCCACGCCCACCCCCACCCACTCTGCCCATTCCTCAGTTATGTTGCGGCAGGTCAGCTCAGTCCCAGCCGAAGGCCGGGGGTGCTGGGACAGAAAACTCAACTGCGACACGTTCGTTGTATGAACTGGCACATCTATATACTGTATGGTTAGTGCCTTGGGAAAATGGATATTATGGACTTAAGATATTGTTTGTAATTTCAGGCACCAATTAATGCAGAAACTACTCAGTCTCTGTTCTAAAGATTTTAACAAAGTTTTGCAGCTCACGGGTTCCAATAATAGGTATCAGAACCGGGATATATGTATATATAAAACACAATCATGTGCATTAATAGGTAAAAACATGTCAATCTAAGATAAAATCAATGGAGCTTGGAACAAAACATTTAACACCAATTAAAAGAAATAAGGTATACAAAAGTATATACGCATAGAAGAAACTTGGTTTGCCAGCAACACTGACGTCACATTTAGTCATAATTTACGTTTAATACTTTGGCTTTTGTTTGAACCTTATTATGTAAAAAATCCAATCAAAAAGAGTTCTGAAAACTAGCCAATCCTGAACAAAATTTTTTGAGGAATTGGATAAAATTATTTGTTCAGGGCTGAGAGGGCCAACTATCAAGTAATATTAAACTGAATATCAAAATTGACGAATTTTATATCAAAAAATATCGTGGTATGGCAGCCCGCAGCAACTACGAATTGCACGAGTCTGGCAGCGCCACAAAACTATGTCACATTCGTTTTATGTTGTTTTTGTTTGAACCTTAATATGTAAATAATGCAATAAAAAGGACTTCTGAAAACTTGACAATCTTGTAGAAAATTTACGTATCTATCGGATTAAATTATTTGTTTATGGCTGAGAGTCCCAGCTAGCTAGTAATATTAAACCGAATATCAAAATCGAGAAATTTCAACTTTGAATGTTTTGAAAAAAACAATCAATACTATCGTAATAGTATCGGGCTCAAATAATTATTAAACACCATTGAAACTTTTTAGGAACTTGTCCATTGTAAAAATTAGATGCCACCTTTGATTTGTCTACAAATGTGTCTTTGTATTTTATAGCAACCAATCCAAACATATCAAAAGCGCAACGACTGTAGCTCGATATATTTGTGGACATCGATGTTTTCAAAATAAACATCGATGAAACATCGATGCTTAAAAAAATAAAAAACAAATTTTTTTTTCTGTAAATTAAATTAATTTAATTGAAAAGATTTGGTTCATTTTATAACAAAATAAAAACTTTATTCGTAAAAGCAAAAAAAAAAAACAAATTCAATGTGATCAAAATACAAAACTTATTCTATAAGTTTAACAGAAAATAGTTTGGTTCTTATTGATACATGAGTTTAGCTACGACATCAACTTTAAGTCGCACGATATTGCCACACATCTACCGACGTTGCCTACACCACAAGTTGAATACCTGAAAACATCTAAATACAGTTAATAATTCAATTTATAAATATATTTTAACACATAACTTCTGCGCTTCCCTTACTTTACTTACCTTGCAAAAACATCAATAGTCGCCATAAAACATCGATGTTTCCAAAAAATTTAAAAACATCGATGCATCGATGTTCTCCACCTCTAGGTTTGACCCTCTAATTAATATAATAAATAAAAAGTGCTTAATTGTTGGGAAACACTTAACGATAGTCTATTTAGCCGACACGCTATGTTAATAAGGACCAGCTATTAGAAATCAGAAGTTGCATGATGGCGGATGAGTATTGTCTGACGAACTTTATTGATTTTTCGCTGTCTTTGTCGCTACCACTGAAGCACAATCGAATTAAGGTAACTTGTCTGCAGTCTAATGCATCCCACTATTGTTAACCACCACATCCTTTTCGGCAGTACACATGCTTCGACATCTCGGATAGCTACATTATCTTTGGAGCATCCTCTGGCTCCCTCTATCTGTTCAATCGCAACGGAAAGTTTCTGCACCTCATCCCCAACAAACATGGAGCCATCACCAACCTGAGCATATCGGCCAATAACAAGTACGTCGCCTTCTCCACTCAGCGGTCCCTTATTTGCGTGTACGCTGTGAACCTGTCCGCCCAGGCCACGCCTCAGGTGATCGTCACGCATCTAGACCAATCTGTCCAGGTCAGCTGCATCCACTGGACGCAGGACGAGAAGCAGTTCTACTATGGAGACTCTCGGGGACAGGTCAACCTTGTCCTGCTATCTTCCTTCATAGGCCACAATCTGCTTCTCAACATGACTGTGCACCCCTTGCTCTATCTCGACTCGCCCATTGTCCAGATCGATGATTTCGAGTCCCTGCTCCTGGTGTCCAACTGCACCAAATGTATACTGTGCAATACCGAGTACGAGGAGTACAAGCAGGTGACTATTACTTGATCGATGTCCGTACAAGGTCAGCCGTACAACTGTTATAATTTTTACCCCATATTTAGATCGGCAACCGCCCTAGGGATGGGGCCTACGGCGCCTGCTTTTTCATCTCGCCACACGAGTCTGTGCAGCCGTCGCGCATCTACTGTGCGCGGCCCGGTACCCGAATCTGGGAGGTGGACTTTGAAGGCGAGGTCATCCAGACGCATCAGTTCAAGGCCGCCCTGGCAACGGCCCCCGCCAAGATACAGAAAAACAGCAGCGGAGACCACAACGCGGATGAGCTGGACTCCAACGACGAGTTGCTGGACTACCAGCCGCAGCAGTTGCAGTTCTCCAGGGTGCAGAGACTTAGCCAGGACTTTCTGTTGGCCTATACCGAGCTGGGGCTCTACATCTTCGACGTACGCAACTCGTCCGTCGTGCTGTGGTGCAACCAGTTTGAGCGGATTGTTGACTGCCGTGTATCCGGAATGGAGATCTTCGTGTTCACGCAGACGGGCTCACTGTACAGCGTACAGCTGCAGACACTCCACGGGTATTCCATCTCGCTAGTGCAACAGTCGAAGTTGCTCCAATGCGCGAATCTGCTGCGCCAGCATGTGAAGTATTTTGCGGACAAGGCCAGAGAGAACTACGAGCTGAAACTGCTCAACCAGCTGAAGCAGCTGCTGATCGAGAGACAGGAGTACGAGCTCCTGAACGACATTTCGGTGATATTCGATGCCATAGCCCAGTGCACAGGAAGTGCGCTGGACACCCAAAGCTCTGGCGGCAGCTCGGCCGCCACCGAGCGCAGTGGTAGCATGAGCGGGGGTGGAGTAAGCGCCCCCAAGGGCCCGCCGAAAGGCGTGTATGTCCTGGAGAACGCCTTCTGCGATAATCTAAAGCAACAGCCAAAGTCCGGACACTTTAAGGATGCCCTGCTCACCGTCACCGGCAAGTTTGGGAAAAACATCATCAAATACAAGTTCAACATATTCGCAGAAGAGCAGCAGCAGCAGCTGGTGAGGGAGCTCATTCCAGCCAGTGAGCGGTCCCTGCCATTCAAGGACATCAAGGCTCGCTACGAATCTGGCGAGGGCGGGGAGGAGGAGATCGTGAGCCGCTGCAAGCGACCCACGCCGCAAGCTCCCCACATCAGCCCCGAGGAGAAGACCATCTACAACCTCTATCTGATCTGCAAAAGCGCTAAGTTCAGTCGCACACACTGCGTGGAGCGCTATCGCGCCGTCTTCGATGAGTACGCAGCCAGCGAGCTGGTAACGCTGCTGGGCAAGTTGGCCCAACTGATGGTAGAGCACGGCGATGGGCAGGAGCAAGCGGAGCGCAATTGCTACGAGATGTACTTCAACTATTTGAATCCCGAGCTCATCTGGGAAGTGGATGACGCCACACGGGACTACATTGCCAGTGGATTTGTGCTGCTGAATGCCCCACAGTGCATGGAGATTGTTAGATGCGACCACTGCGCCTTCCCCTTGCGGTTCGACAACGCCTGCCAGTACCACGAACTTGGCGCCGTCCTGCTTCGCTACTTCTGGTCCCGCAACGAGCAGCTCAAGTGTTTCGATGTGGTCCAAGCCGTTCCTGCCCTGCTCGATGTCCTGGCCAAGTTCTATTTGGCCGAGCAGAACCTCGACAAGGTCCTCCCCATTGTACTCAACTATGGGCAGCCGGAGTTGCTCTTGGACGTGGGCCGACAGCTCAACGTGGCGGCCTGGGCCCGTTGCTTCGAGCAGTTTGCTGAGCTGCAGCGTGGACGCCTGGTCTGCGTAAACTGCGAGTGCGTGTCGAGCGTGGAGCAGGATCAGTTGACTCGCCATTTCTTTTACACTTGGAACTGCTTCCTTAATATCGCTCTCGACCACCTGACGGCCAGCGACACGTTGGCCCTCATCTTCAAGTGGAGCTCGTACATTCCGAACGATGCCATCGACAGAGAGTTCTATTCCAGATGCCTGCTCAAGGGCTAGTCCTAGTTCTAGTCCCAGCGGAGCGACCATGGGGGTTGAGTTGACGATGCGACCTGCATACGAGATACTGCACAGGGTTTAGTTGTTACATACATATAAACATACTACATATATGTAGGTACATACGCATATACATATTTACACACAGCTATATAGCATACATATAGCATACATACTACATAGCAATATATGGCCGTATTTACTGTTCAAATGTTTCCACTATGTAATCTCAAGCTAGAACAGAAGCTTTAGCCAATACCAAAAGCATTTATTCTATATAAAAATGTACACCTACATACAAACATACATCCAAATACATATATGTATTAAGGCTGGCTGATAAAGCATTGGTCGAATGTAAAATCAAATTATAATTTTGTTGGTTAGAACGCCCACACGGTTTAATTTTTGGACAGAGTCTAATTGTCGGAAAAGGATGAAGCGTAGTTGCTATGGGAAAATAGTATGAATTGGTTCGGCACGGCTGATGGCATCCACCATAATCTCCGAACTTGCCCCCCACTATTATCTGATCCGAAATCTAGAAAAATGGTCGTCAAGCGATTCCAGTCAAATGAGATGAGGGTTATCTATGAAACAAAGGCTATTTTGAGGTCCCTTCACCTGTGCGACGATAATTTAGGAGGCATGCAAAAAACTGGATGACCGTTTGATAAAGTCCAAGGAAGATTATATTAGAGCACATATATATATATATGTACATATATAAGTATTCCAGTTTCGAGCTATATGAGTTTTGCGTCAAATCCCAAAATAAGAAGGCGTCGTACGCTTTAAAAAAATTCCAACACAACAATTTTTGGCAAAAGTTATACAAAATTAAGTCTGCAATTCACAACATTTCTCTTCCATTCGAAAATAATCCAATAACCGCTTCCGATACTGCCACAGTCCGGCAGCGCCATCATCAAATCATTGTCGTCTATAGCTGCCCATAATCGGCAAGTTTACCACCACCTGCAAAGCCATCGATATATCGATACTTCCATCGAAAATTAAATAAACTCAATCCCACTTTCTTTATTGATTCGATCTGTATCCTGTGATCCATTTCGTAATTTTCGTTGTAATTATTGCATCGGCTTGGCGTTTTTTTTTTCAAGGGATATATTTTCCTTCCATATTATTGTTTGTCTGTGGTGCGATTCTGTTTTGGTGGTTTCTCGTTATGAGATTGGTTGTCGACCTCCTTTTTATCTGCGAAATACTACACTCTTTTCATGAACGATGTATCGATCACAGTAAAAACATCGTATCGTATGGTTATTGGCACAATTCTAGAACCATCGATATTATCGATAGTGTCATCGATGGTTTTGCAACCCTCTAATTCTCTAATTTTCGCCATTGTGTGATTTAGACACGCGTCTGAGCATAAAAAACGCGAAAAGTAAATTTTCAAGCGTAGCACAATTACAAACCGCTTGTAATTGTCGTGGCACAAGCAGGCCGTATAAGTTCGAAGTGTATCGATTTAAAACTTTAACAAAATAACTCTGTGAGAAGTACAGACCTCATTTGAATTTTCACATAAGAACGTAGTAGCTTGTGGAACGTAAGAAGTTGTCGGAAAAACTAATGAAAAACGTATAGACACAAAGTGCAACACAAATACTAAAGAAGGAGAGAAACCGTTTTCACATATCTTTTTTTGTCGCAAATAGCAAGTGTGCACCCGAACAAAGCGTAACAACTGCAAAATTTTCCTAAACGGAAAGCAAGAAAAACCAAGCAACTGATTGGAGGATAATATGAGTAATGCTATTAACCAAAATGGCACAGGTCTAGAGCAGCAAGTAAGTAAAGCAAATAAAATTTCGTCTGTTGGTTGGCCGAGTGGTGGGGGGGAATCCTGGGTGAAATATATAGTATAGGGAAAAGGTATTAATGCATATATATATACTACATATGTATATCCGTTCGACTATGTTTGTGTGTGTGCGAGAGTGTGTATGACGAGGCTCATGCGGTTATTTGACAATGTTCGGCTAAAAATTTATTGATTTCATAACACACAAATGTCTTTGGCTGTCAAGCGTATCGTTCTCTTACAACGGTGAATTTCTTTTGTATAATTTTTGCTCGTTGCCTCCAATCTGACGTGTGTGTGTGTGAAAGTGCCCGTAGTTTGGTGTGATAGTGTTAGTGTGTGAGCAGCGCCGCAATTCTAAACCAGTGCGTTTCTCTGCGTGTGTACGTGTTTCAGTGTTCCGCTCTTTTTCTCTCGCTTGCGCGCACATGTGGAAGCTGAGTGTTGTAAATAGGGTTGTCAGGGGCAAATATGTGGGCTGTGTATGACAAATGTGGAGGGTGATATTCGATAATGTATAATATAATAACAGCTAGCAAATACTGCATTTATTTTTTAAAGAGAATTTCTTTGAGATGTACTGTAATTTCAGTGCTCGGTTTTCCTTAACCAGTTTCAAGTGAACGGACACTGTTTTTTTATATTTATTTTTACAATACGCGTTCCACACTGCTCGCTGATTCTCGATCCACAGCTGGGCTTATTGTTCGCCGCTAAGATACCTCCTACCAACACAATGAAGCTTGGCTGAGAATTGCGTGTGTGTCTGTGGGTGGCTCTGTTGTTGTTGTGTTGCTAGGCGGGCGCCCTCTCTGTGTAAAAGACCGAAAATCGAGGCTCTAAAGTTTAAACTAGTTGCGCCTCTCTGTATATGTGCGGGAGACTCTACACCGTGTGCACGAGTGTTCGGTGTGTGAGAAAGCAGAAATAAATCGCACATGTTGCCAGGTGGGTGAAGCGAAGAAAGAGAGATGGAGTGGAGTTCTAGGAGAAAACTTGTTATGCCATCGGGTTGGGTTGCAATTCGTTGAACTTGAGGAGCTTGCACACACACAACGTCAATTGTATCTGTACTCACGGTTCTGTCATTCGTGTCACGCACGAATTGCTTCTCGTTTCAGGTTGCTGGTCTGGACTTGAATGGCGGCTCAGCTGACTACAGCGGCCCCATAACAAGCAAGACTTCCACTAACTCGGTCACCGGTGGTGTTTATGTGCCCCCGCATCTTCGTGGTGGTGGTGGCAACAACAACGCAGCGGAGGTAGATAGCCAGGGCCAAGGCCAGGGCTTCGATTCGAGAGCCGCTAATCCGCGCGCCGACAGCAGGGAACCGCAGCAGAACCGCAGCGGTGAGTATCGCAGAGGCGGCGGCGGCGGTGGTCGTGGCTACAATCGCCAGAGCGGCGAGTACGGAAGTTTTGGCAGCGGCGGCGGAGGACGACGTGGAGGAGGTGGTGGCGGTCGCTTTGAGGACAACTACAACGGTAAGTCTGCGCTTCAAATCTTGCAGGGCCAGCTGCTCATCTCATTTGATCACACTTTTGTTCACAGGAGATTTCGAATCGCGTCGTGGAGGCGACTGGAACCGCAGTGGAGGTGGCGGCGGACGAAGCTTTGGTGGGGATCGGCGAGGTCCCTCGTATCGCGGTGGTGAAGGCGGCAGTGGTACTGCCCTTGACGAACAGCCCGATGAGGGCCAACAGCAGCCGCAGCAGCCGCGCAATGACCGCTGGCAGGAGCCAGAGCGCCCAAGCGGCTTTGAGGGTGGTGTCGAAGGCGGAGCACCGGGAGGCGGCGGAAACAGATCCTTCAACAATCGCGGCGAACGCGGGGGCGGCTCTGGCTACAATAGTCGCTGGAAGGAAGGCGGAGGCGGCAACACCGACTACACAAAGCTGGGCGCCAGGGACGAGCGTTTGGAGCAGGAGCTGTTCGGCGTCGGCAACACGGGCATCAATTTTGACAAATACGAGGATATACCCGTGGAGGCGACGGGTCAGAATGTTCCACCCAATATCACAACGTTCGATGATGTGCAGCTGACGGAGATTATTCGCAACAATGTGAGCCTTGCGCGTTATGACAAACCGACACCGGTGCAGAAGCACGCCATACCGATCATCATCAGTGGTCGTGATCTGATGGCCTGTGCCCAGACCGGCTCCGGCAAGACGGCCGCCTTTCTCGTGCCCATCCTTAACCAGATGTACGAGCACGGAATGTCGGCGCCGCCGCAGAACAATCGACAGTACAGCCGGCGCAAGCAGTATCCGTTGGGTCTGGTGCTGGCACCGACCCGCGAGCTTGCTACCCAGATCTTTGAGGAGGCCAAGAAGTTCGCCTACCGTTCTCGTATGCGTCCGGCCGTACTCTACGGCGGAAACAACACCAGCGAGCAGATGCGAGAGTTAGACCGTGGATGCCATTTGATTGTGGCCACTCCCGGCCGATTGGAGGACATGATCACTCGCGGCAAGGTGGGTCTGGAAAACATTCGCTTCCTGGTGCTGGACGAGGCCGATCGCATGTTGGACATGGGCTTTGAGCCGCAGATTCGTCGCATCGTGGAGCAGCTAAATATGCCACCCACTGGCCAGCGTCAGACGCTTATGTTCTCGGCCACATTCCCAAAGCAGATTCAGGAACTGGCGAGCGATTTTCTTAGCAATTACATTTTCCTCGCTGTGGGCCGGGTGGGCTCCACGTCCGAGAACATTACTCAGACCATTCTTTGGGTCTACGAGCAGGACAAGCGCTCGTACTTGCTCGATCTGCTCTCGTCCATCCGCGATGGCCCCGAATACAGCAAGGAGAGCCTGACGCTCATTTTCGTGGAGACAAAGAAGGGGGCGGACTCACTGGAGGAGTTCCTCTATCAGTGCAGCCATCCGGTGACCAGCATCCATGGCGACCGCACCCAGAAGGAGCGCGAAGAGGCGTTGCGCTGCTTCCGCTCCGGCGATTGCCCGATTCTGGTGGCCACTGCTGTGGCTGCCCGTGGTCTGGACATTCCACATGTTAAGCATGTCATCAACTTTGATCTGCCCTCGGATGTGGAGGAGTATGTCCATCGCATTGGCCGTACCGGCCGTATGGGCAATCTCGGCGTTGCCACGTCCTTCTTCAACGAAAAGAACCGCAACATTTGCTCTGATCTGCTTGAGCTGCTGATTGAGACGAAGCAGGAGATTCCCAACTTCCTGGAGGATCTGATGAGCTCTGATCGTGGTCACGGCGGAGCAAAGCGTCGCGGAGGTCCTGGCGGACGCTATGGCTCTGGCTCTGGCTTTGGCTCACGCGATTACCGTCAGAGCTCTGGCGGCGGCGGCGGCGGTGGTAGTCGCGGCAGCAGTGGCCCCCCTCCCCGCAGCAGTGGCGCTGGAGGCGGCGGCGGCGGTGGAAGCTTCCGCAGCAATGGAAACTCGTATGGTAAGTTTGGTTAGTGGAACAAGCGGGTTCCGGATCCTAGATGTTAGCTCACATTTGTATTATTTTGGTCGTAGGAGGCAATTCTGGTGGTGGCGGATACTACGGAACCAGCGGCGGTGGTGGCGGATCCTATGGCGGCTCGTACGGCGGCGGTGCCGCCTCGCACTCAAGCAACGGTCCGGATTGGTGGGGTCAATGAGAAAGGCCTCATCCGCAGGGCCAGGGCTACCAACGGGCTGTGTACGCCACGCCGAGGGAGCAGCAGCAGCAGTCGCACTCGCATCATAGCAACTTTCGCAATTAACTAAAGAGAACTAAAGAGAAGAGAACAAACAGAGATCCGTTGGTCGTCAGTCGATAGCAGCTATATATTATGTACACACACACATACATATATTATATAGTAACAGCAAATGTGAAAGAGGATCTGTCTGTGCGCAGCGCAACACACATGAACAGACGGACACACAGAAATAAGAAGTAGACCATCCTCATTTATCATTTATCAGCTATCCCTAAAGTCGAACCACAACCAAAACAATAACCCCAACCCCATACCCAATAGAAGCAAAAATAATAAATAGTAAAAAATCTAATTTAAAAAAGTATGTTATTCATGTAACGAGAGCGTACGTACACTCAGGCCCATCCATCCCCCCCCATCTGCCCCATCAACGAAACAACAACAATTTCTATTTCATTGAAGCAAAGCGAAGACGATGCACACATATGGAACGAATTAAGGAAGGATTTACCAACACACACACACACACACACATATTACAAATATGATAAACACCACAATATAAGAAATATTTAAGCAACTGATACAATTTTGAATTTTTGTCCATAAGTTATACTTCTCACACATCATTTCTCTTGGAATTTTCAAATACAAATATATATAAATAAATATATATATACATGGGAGTATATATGTATACTGTCGATAGCGGATCAAGATGATGAATGCGCAAAACTTGAACTTCAATTGATGATTTTAAACATGAAACGATAAATAGTAATGATATATATATATTAACATATATAAATCGAGATATAATGTACTATATGAAACAAGAAATCAACACAAAGAAAATATTAAAAAATAAAGTTTGCTAAACATAAATTTAATAATTTAGCAAATGAAAAAAAAAACATCTATGTAGTCTGATTTATCCCATAGACTAATTAGCTTCCTTAACAACTAAACGTTGTACTTTTTTGGGACAGTCTGTAACAGAAAAGAAACCTGTTTTTGTAGTCCCACACATTTAAGCACAATACATACCATACATGCCATGGAGGGCGACAAAAAGACAAACAAATTTTGTCAGCGTTTGCGAACTTGAGAGCTTGCTTTGACCACAATTCGATACAGTTTGCATACTCAAATCAGTAAGTACATAATATATATATCGTCCAATCGAGTGCGGGTATACCCACTCTTTTGAAAGGATACATGATGGGTGCTGTGCAAGAAGGTGGGAAGACAGAGAGAGAGAGAGAGAGGAGAAATGTAACAGACTGTAAGGAAGCAACTAGAATATAAATCATTAGGTGGAAAGAGAATAAATGGGGTACAGGAATACATATGCATACGTTACATAGTCAAGCCTCAGTATCCAAATTCGATACTTCAAAAGATACTCGGATATCAGAGCAGTTTTCTTTGAGATTCCAAAATAAGATACAAAGTGAGTTGCTTAGTTTTTCATTCTCTATGCCACGAATGGTAATCTCTCAATGCAACGATACAGACATGAAGTCATAAATATTGTTACATGAGCCTAAGTTTAAATAATAATAATTGAAAAGAAGGCAAACAGTTAAAGAAACTAAAGAGAATAATAAAAATTTGAGCTCGATTCCCAATGCTCTGCTCTTTATTTAATATAATAAAATTTAATCATTTTGATTATAGTTTTAGCACTACTGCAATTATTTCTGAAATAAAAAGCCATAAGACACATTGCGTTAAAAATTTTTTCATACATACATATGCATGTGTTTACTTATGTAAATATGTACATATGTATGCGTGTAGTACATATATGTACATACATATGTAGGTTTAAATTGTATTCACATTCGTATGGAGTATTAAATAAATTTAATTAGGAGTAAACTATAGCAAAGATACAAAACTTAGATGCTTAAGTGTGTTTCGAGAGGAGGGAACATCTGGACAAGCTTTAGTTTTTACAAAAGGATCTGTTCTCAAGATCTGTCCCTGGGCCAACTCGGAATTTAGGGAACTCAATAGCCACATTGAAGTGTCCCTTGATTTTTTGGTGAGTGCTAAGAAACTGAATGCTGAGTGGTATCCACCTATAAGCTAATTGCTATGGAACTATAAGCTGACGGCTATAAAATGGAGCCTCTAGCTTAGTGTGTTACAACATCCCACTTGAATTTCATAGCTGGGGGGTTAGCGACCTTTTGGAGCTTAAGGAAAGAGCTTTGTCCCCCAACGTGTTCTTCGTCGAAGCTTCAAGTAGCATGCACTCAGCATGGACCACGAACAGTAAACGAGTAGTCAGTGCCATTTTAAGAGTGCGATCCGGAAAGGTTTCGAGGCGAGCAAGCAAAGCATCCAGCAACGAGAGTAAATTGGAATACTCGTACAGCGAAGTCTGGCCTGCCGGCGACGGAAATAACGATCGTGGTCCCATACACTAATTAGATTAGATTAGACAAACCTGATTAGTTCGCTGTGCATTGTGGGGGCATGGGCAGCAGGCATAGGGAAGGGGAGCGAGCTCGTGCTGTCGATTCTTTGTTTGTCTTCGCAGATAAATTTGCGAAGTGAGTAAAGCTCGAAGCTTGCGGAGCAACTTTCTTGTGTTGCGTTGTGACTAAAATTTAAAAAAGGAAATCGACGTGACACAAGTGGAAGCTACCGCTGCATGACCACACCAGCGCGAGCGATTCGGGTGTTGTTCAGTTACGAGCATTTTTTGGTGCATTTGTTTGCTGAATTTTTTGCGGATCAGCTGTGTACATTTTCGAGTGTGTCTGTTTGCTTGCGAGACAATATGCAGAAGGCACAACAACGCGGTCTCTGCTGGATGCTGTTTGTGCTGGGCTCCCTGATCCTTACCCTAACGTTGGCCTTCAGTTACTGGATGTTTGTTCCACGGGAGGTGCATTTCTGGCCGCTGATTTCGCGCAATTACAGCGGGCCAGAAGCAAAGATCTCCATGCTACCGGGGATGGTGCCAGCGGGACTCAAGCTGAAGCACGGGCCACCCTTCGTCTACCAGATATTACATTAGTCCAACACACACGACAGAGTATATGCTATGTAATCGTATTCTAGTTTAACAATAAATTACATGTACGTTAGAGAATTGGGTGGCTTGGAAAAGCTAGCAAGCATCACAAGTGGATGGCATTGGGGACCATCAAACGTCCGACTTTTGGTTGAGCGCAGCATAACCCACTGGAATCTCTTTCATTTCGGTTTGAAGACAGAGAAACTCCCCTCCTATGCACATGATGGTTCCTGTTATGACGTTAAGCAGCCACCAGGAGGCGTTTGCGGGGAATGAACGGTTGTACCACCAGCAGATCAGCAAGTGCAGGACATGGAAGGTACAGCTGCGTCGGAGAAATAGGAGAGAAGAGACAGATTAGGATAACTTCAAGTGCTTGTGCGGGGAATAATCACCTGAAGTCCAGACATAGCTTTGCTCGTCTTACTATGCACCACAGAGCCAGCGAAGCCACAAACGCATTTACGACAAAGGCGCAAATGACCAGCCGGCCGCCCAGGTCGTATATGTGTATTTCCTAGATGGTTAAACGGAAACGGGATCCATGAAGCTTATGTCAGCAGGGCTTGTTGTTTAAAATGCATACACGATATTCGAATAGATGGTCCAGTGTGTAGTTGTCGCCAGACAACTTGTTGGCCACAAACACAAGCAGGCCCAGTGTGAAGTACACGCAGAACTGCATCGAAATGATTTGGGAGGTCAGCAGCGTGGGGTCCCATTGCGTGTTGCGAAACGTTCCTCCCTTCATGGTTTTGAAAGTCTACGAATTTGCGACTATTCATGCGACATACATTTATTTATTTAATAAAATTCCGTTTCGTTTCAGCTGGCCAAAAACAATAACAAACATCTGACTCAGCATAGAGATGTGCAAGTGAGCTATTTATAGTCTGTCTATCGATACATTCAAAAATTAATTAATTATATGCTTTTAAACGAAATTTATACAAACGAAATCGAAATCTAACATTTTTTCTAAACAATAAACCTACTGAATCTTCCTGTTCTAATTCGATAGTCAACTTTAAATAATTCGATTAGTCAAGATCGATTAAACGGAAGATGGGGGCGATGGAGAATGTTAAGAAATTCGTAAGTTTGCAATATTATGGATTACAAAAGCAATGAGGTCTTATGTTTGTCCATCTAGAGTCGCATGCGGTCGCTGGGAATTGTCACGGCAGGGGCCACCGCCTTGCTGATGGGTATTACGGCGTACAACAACAAGGACCGGTTCTTCCGCACGTTTATTATGCCGGCCGTGCGTCTGCTGCCTGCAGAGGCCAGCCACAGCTTGGCTGTGCTCGCGTGCAAGTATCGTGTCTATCCTGTCTCCGAATATCAAGATGACATCAATTTGAATACCCCGTTTTTTGGTCGCCTGCTGAGCAATCCGATTGGCATCGCCGCTGGATTTGACAAGAATGCCGAGGCCGTATCCGGCCTGAAAGATCTAGGCTTTGGCTTTGTTGAGGTAGGAACTGTCACGCCCAATGCTCAGGAGGGAAATCCGAGGCCTCGAGTGTTCCGCCTATCTGAAGACAAAGCTATTATAAATCGTTATGGGTTTAACAGTGATGGCCACCAAGCTGTTCTGCAGCGGCTTAGCGAGGCGAGAAAAAAGGAGAATTTTAATGCCATAGTGGGCGTTAACTTGGGGCGCAATCGAGACACCCTGACCCCAGTCTCTGACTACGTACAGGGAGTCAGGGTCTTCGGGCCCGTGGCGGATTATCTAGTAATCAATGTGAGCAGTCCCAACACGAAAGGACTAAGGGATATGCAGAGCAAGGAGAAGCTTGCCGAGTTGCTCGAACAAGTGAACGAGGCGCGGTCGGGTCTGGAAAAGAACCGTAATGTCCCGATCTTGCTCAAGCTATCGCCCGACCTAGAGGTCTCCGACATGATCGACATAGTGGCAGTCATTAAGCGGAACAAGAGTCGCGTGGATGGTCTCATTGTGGCCAATACGACAGTGTCGCGGGACAATCTGCACGGCAGTAAGTGGACCACAGAGAGAGGCGGTTTGAGCGGAAAGCCGCTCAGAGCCCGCTCCACAGAGATGATTGCCCAGATGTATCAGCTCACCAACGGAAAAGTTCCCATAATTGGTGTTGGCGGCGTCTCATCCGGTCGTGATGCGTATCAGAAGATTGAGGCGGGCGCTTCGTACATCCAAATCTACACTGCTCTGGTCTACGAGGGCCCATATCTCGTTGAGCAGATCAAGGACGAGCTTTCGAAACTCATCACCGAACGTGGACATTCCAATGTACAGGCAGTGGTTGGGACAAAGTCAAAGTTCTACCTACCCAAGTAAGAAGCACAGTTTTAGGAACTAAAAATGAAACAATCGAAATATTTCTTTGGCTCCGGTACACGTAATTAAACCTCTATAAGATTACATTTGTATATTTCTCAAGTAACTTTATTGACTTTCGTTGGCACGCTGCACGTTGAGTACCCTGCCCTCGAGGAAGTGGGTGTTCTGATTGCTGGCGCTGTTGTAGGCATCCCGCTGGCTGAAGACTACGAATCCGTAGTACTTTGAAAGTCCCTGCTGCTTGTCGAACACTACTTCTGCATTGGCCACGTGCCCGTAGCGGGAGAAGTAGGTTTTCAGCTCCTTGCTGCTGATGGTCCACGGCAGGTTGCCCACAAACAACTTGTACGAGCTACGCGCAAATCCGCTGGACATGATTATGCGATTTGTTTATTTTATTTTTTGGTTACAGCTGTGTGACCATATTTGGACGTGTTAGCTATCGAGGCAAATCGCTCGTTGGCGTGTCCACTATCGATACCTCGAAATAAATCAATGTGTCATCTCTAGCTCTATTGGTTGGGTATTTATGTAAATTACTTAAAAAGTGCATAAATGTGCACTTTAACCGCAGAAGAGAAAAGTGTTGAGTTGGACCCACAGGAAAACCAAGCGACGGAAAAATAAGCGCACTCTTCGGCCCTTTCAAAGTCTCAGTCGACGTGTTGTATTCGGGGCGCGGCGCCCTCTGAAAAGACCAGCGACAGACGTCCTTTGGCAACAAAGCAATATCAATACTTTCTGTTCTGCTAGTATCCCGAAGCAGCCGTCAGTCACAATGGCCGAGCGACCGAAAAATTTGTTTGCCAGTGAGTATTATTTATTTTTCCTGCCTCTGCCCACGCACTTGACATACACACAGCACCACAATCAGATATATGTGTACATATGTATATAAATATGTACGTACATATGTACATACTCACACACATAAGTGCGGCCACCACTGGAACATATTTGTGGGAAGAGGAGTGGAGTGCACTGCTAAGTTGATAAGTTGATAAGCCAAAAAAGTAAGCACAAAACAAATTAATAAATTACAGCTGGACCCAGTCGATCGCGCAACCCTCCCGATCAGCTCAGTCTTAACAACCTCAGCATTCGCCATCCGCCCTCGTCAACCTCGTCGACTTCGTCCGGGTCTACATCCTCGGGATCAAGTTCCTCATCTCAACATAACAATGTGGCGCTGCGTTTTAGTGCACAGCCCCCGATGGCCATCAGCAGTGGCAGTAGTGCCGGCGGTGCCGGTTGTTCCGGTGGCGGAGGCGGCACTGCGCCGGCTTCAAGCAGTAGCAGCAGCAGCACTGCAACAGACCGGCATCGGGAGCGTATACGCCAGCAGGCCTGTGGCAAGCTACAGTTTGGCGAGGGTGCTGCGAACACACATCAGTTCACTTCAGATGATCTCGAGGATGAGGGCGAAATAGGGCGAGGAGCCTTTGGTGCCGTCAACAAGATGATATTCAAGAAGCTGGATAAGGTCATGGCAGTGAAGCGCATCCGCTCTACTGTCGACGAAAAGGAACAAAAGCAGCTGCTCATGGACCTAGAGGTGGTCATGAAGTCCAATGAATGCATCTACATTGTTCAGTTTTATGGAGCGCTTTTCAAGGAGGGCGATTGCTGGATATGCATGGAACTGATGGACACGTCGTTGGACAAATTCTACAAGTACATATTCGAGAAGCAGCAGCGCCACTTGCCAGAGTCCATCCTCGCCAAAATCACGGTTGCCACGGTGAACGCGTTGAACTATTTGAAGGAGGAGCTCAAGATAATACATCGTGATGTAAAGCCCAGCAACATCTTGCTGCATCGCCGAGGCGACATCAAGCTGTGTGATTTTGGAATATCGGGCCAACTAGTTGACTCGATAGCCAAGACCAAGGATGCGGGCTGCAGACCCTACATGGCGGTAAGCAAACGGAAAAAATCGAAATGACATTCATTTTTGATATTTCGCAATTTTGAATTTTTCTGCAGCCTGAGCGCATCGATCCAGAGCGTGCCAAGGGCTACGATGTGCGAAGCGATGTGTGGTCCTTGGGTATCACTTTGATGGAGGTGGCGACAGGTAATTTCCCATATCGCAAATGGGACTCGGTGTTTGAGCAGCTTTGCCAGGTGAGCTGGGCGTTTTGAAAGTAAGAGTTGAGCATGTTTATCATGTTCTTACATCCCTTAGGTTGTGCAAGGCGAACCGCCGCGACTAATGACCTCTTACAATGGCATGGAGTTCTCCAAAGAGTTTGTGGAATTCGTCAACACTTGGTAAGCACTATAAAATTTGGAATTTGTATATTCAGTCGCTTTTCATTGCGTCATTTGTTGCAGCCTCATTAAAAAGGAGAGTGACAGGCCTAAGTACAGTCGACTGCTGGAGATGCCATTCATACGTCGCGGCGAGACGAGCCACACCGATGTGGCTGTGTATGTGGCAGATATCCTCGAGTCCATGGAAAACGATGGCATAACGCAGTTCACGGCCAACCAGCAGGCGGAGAGTTAATCATCTCGAAGCGAATTAACTAAGAATCAGCAACAAACACACAAAAAACAAAAGCAAACTAAACACGGAAGAAAAACATAAAAACATAAGTTGTTGTCTACTCTGTAGCATTCATAGTAAACGTAGGGCTTATCGTATTTTGTTTTGAAGACAAAAACAAAACTAAGCTAATGAAAAGTGTGTAAGCTGAAAGTACATAAAAGAGATGTGTGTAAAGTCGAATCCCGAAGAGAAAGAAATTCCCAATTGTGCGGCAATAATTTTTGTAATCGTGCGTTGAAAATGTGTGAAAAAATAAATTCCCAAATTTAATTGTTTAGAAAAAGCCAGAAAGTAGAAGCGATAGCCAAGCGTTTTAGACCGATGGCAACCAACATCCCCCAGAGTCCATGTCCCTTTACGTTCAGCCAGCGAGCATTTTTCAAATTCGAACCATTCGTTTATCATTCTTGATGGCACATCCGCTATAAGTGATACATTCTGCGTTATTAAACAAAAACAAAAACCACAAGAGAAACCTAAGCAATTAGAACGGTTGGTAGAAACAAAAGAAATAAGTAAATTACGAAAATCAAGGGTTCACTATCTAGACGACTGTAAGCTAATGAATACACCAACACGCGACCCAAAGCGTGCAATAGAAATAGTTCAACCATACAATTAAATGATGTATTATTTATTGAGTCGATTTTGTAATCCTATTATACATATTTTTTATTTTGCATATGAACATGATTGTGAAAAGCTTTAAATGATTGGCCAGCGGCTTAAATGTTTAAATTTTAGTAGAAATAATTGCAGGAATATGCAAAAATAATCGCTTAATATATGAAATAATTAGCCACAACACCAACACACACATCCCCATACTGATCACACACACACACAAACGCTTTTACGCGTAGTATTTAGTTGTAAGCGAAGCAAAATATTTAGCAAAAAGTTACAGCTTCAAAAAGAAGTCAAGTGAAAAGGAAAATAAAACAAAATAAATGTATTGTGCCTAAGTATAAAGGAATGATATGATGAAAATTTAACCAGAGAAATACCACTTAAATTCCATTAATGGTCATAAGCCATTTAATATCTAACCAGTATCTGGAACCGCAACGGGTTCCTTAGCCTAGCTTTTGCCCCCGCCACTCCCAAAATGCTCATGCCACACCATAGAGACACCACGCCAGTCCCGTCCCCCCCCACAAACACACACAACATAACAAAAACGAGAAATTGCACCGTCTAAGCCCCGACTCAAACAGTCAAAAACGAACCATGCCAGTGTTTTTTGATTAACATTTTTATGCAAGCGTCAATGTGAAAGCAAAGTTTATTTTGTATAAATATATAAATGTATGAATATATGTATGTACATGCAATGCATTATATATTTGCATGAGTTGCCTATACATAGATTAAGATCGACACAGCCTGCAGGATTTTCTCTTTTGTTTGAAATTAATGTGCAAAACAAAACACCTACAATATGCAGCAAAAGGAGTTCAACAAATAATATATGAATATATTTTTAATAAGTCAATAGGCAGCAGCCCTGAGAGTTGCAAATAAATTTGTATAAGAATGAAATGCTCGGCCAGCCGATACGTGTATGCCCTTACCGATGCCAATACATATGGGAGTCAATGATGTAAGAAGATATCACACAGCTTGATAGATGAGGACTGCGACTTCCTCGGAAATACTTTTCTGCTCTACTTCATTGAGCCACAAACCACAGCAACATTTGTAAGGGCGTACATATCTTATCTGAAATGCGAAAAGTTTCTAGAGATAACAATGAAAGGTGACAAAGAACGCATTAAGGTGCCATAAGATTGAGTCAACCCCAGTTAAAAACTTGGTATAGTTTAAAACAATTACCTACATATGTACATATATATGTATGTGCTCGGGCAGGTCATCCTTGATATACATAACAGCAAGTAGGATTAATAATCATATTGTACAACTTGTGTGTAATGCCAGGAAACCCACAATCGGAGTCGTCGCGAGTCGTCAATATTTTTGACAATAAAAAGGTGTATAATTTATTTATAAAGCAGGGCAAACTTTAGGTCCCTCGAGGAGTTACGGCTAGACATATGAAAAGTGTATATAAGGTAGACCTAGACCTACTAAGGAAATATGACTGGCATATATTTATATACTAACCTATGTAATAACTGCAACAACAGGCAGTAGAGTACTTACGTCTATCAATTCCGAAAGACACCCGATTGAAAAATTGTAACACCAACGCCTACGATTTACTTCCACTGATCCTTTAGGCTAATGCAGATGCAAACCACAACTTACAACTATAAACTAAAACTAACCAATGACAAAACTGGAAACGCAACGTCCACAAAAAAATAAATATCGCAAACTTTTAAAACCTAGCTTACACTTAAGAAGAGAGTGGAGTGCAACTTTGTCGATTTTTAAGGGATCCAAATATGGGATCCTGATCCTAAAATGTAGAAGCCATTGGAACACCTGAGGAGGCGACGTTCTTCACTCAACACATAGCGCACTAAGTTTTACTAAGTAGCCTACCAACGTACATCTGTATGTACATATGTATGTGTGTACCATGCCCGCTTGTGTCTCTCTATCTCAACAGAACTAAAATAACACATGGAAAGCCGTGATCACCGCAGGAGGATTATAAAAAGTCAAGCAAATACGGAAGGAAATAAGAAATTGAATTGTTAAAAAATAACTTAATACATAATTGAAATAAACAACAACACAACTAAAACAATTTGTAAAAATATTAATAGCGAATAAAAAGCATAATTAAAAAACCAAATGAATGCTTAATGAGTATCAATGGGGGTAGGGGTAGGGTTAGGGATTGAGCTGAGTGAACAACCCATGGAACACGAAGCCTGACACGCCTACCTAAATGACGTATCCGTTGGCCCAATAATTAACCAATTACTAAATCAAAATAAAGTTCAAGAACATGCTACAATGTGTCGAGCCTAGCTGGGGTTTCGGCCAAGGGGTATATTGATTTTTTGAGCGCGTTTATCGGTCCAGTAAAGTATAATAAGGGGGATGAGAAAATCAAGGCGGAATTCCGGATGTACTCGTACTAATTTGTGTTGAATTTTTTAACAATAAATACGGAAAATTTGAGCATACAAAAAATATCAATCCATGGTGGATTTTTGTTTGTTAAAAGAGTAAATTCAAACAGGCCCAACAGCTTTGGCCCACTGCATATTATAATATTGACTGGCATAATTTTCAGGGCACGCGACTCGCATGCGAATGGTCACCTAACGAGAGGCTAGAGACGTGGCAGGCATGGAAAGTTCCGCATTAGAGCCACAAATGCGTAATCCCCGCACTGAGGCTCCAGCCACATACTCTTGCATATAGAAATCTCAATGGGTGCCGTGCCTGAGCTGGGATGCCTAGACTCAGTGTGGACTCGAACGTTGCGCGATAAACAATTAATTTCTGGTGCGGACTGGGGACCGGACCCTCAAGTTCAACGACATGCTGCTCGGCACCTGCATCATTCTGGCCATATGGTTGCTGCTGGTGTGGACGTACTTTTTATGGACCCGGCGACGGTACTACAAGGCCGCCTGGCAGATGAGGGGACCTATCGGCTGGCCCCTAATCGGCATGGGCCTGCAAATGATGAATCCCGAGAGTAAGAGCGGCCGGAGAGAAGCCAGTCCAGGCTGGGGCTAACAGTCTTTTGCAGCCTTTCTGCAGTACATGGACGGACTGTCGCACAAGTTCAAGGCACCCTTCGTCTCCTGGATGGGCACCAGCTGCTTCCTCTACGTCAATGACCCACAAACTGTGGAGCAAATCTTCAACTCGAACCATTGCACCAACAAGGGAGACTTCTACCGCTTCCTGAGCTCGGCGATAGGCGACGGGCTGTTCACCTCCAGCGCTCCTCGCTGGCACAAGCATCGTCGCCTCATCAATCCTGCCTTTGGGCGTCAGATCCTCTGCAACTTTTTGCCCATTTTTAATGCCGAGGCGGAGGTTCTACTGCAGAAGCTGGACCTGGAGGGTGTACAGGGTGGCAAGGAATTGGAGATATATCAGATATTAAAGAAGATTGTCCTGGAAGCAGCATGTCGTGAGTAGCCAGCCAATCCCTTTGCATCTCATTTTCGAAGTGCGTAATTTATAATTCTGATGCAGAGACAACCATGGGCAGGAAAATGAATTTCCAGCATGACGGTTCCGCGGCCATATTCGAAGCCTACAATGGGTGAGTCATTGCATTGATGGGAACTACATATATTGCATGTGCAATAGTATAGAATATATCTAATATTTAATTTATTCTGAAAAGAGTCCGCACGTGTGTTTCCTTGAATGTATGATTTATATCGAAATTTAAATGCAAGTAGTCAGTCCTTGGAAGCAGTGTTGGACCAGTGCCGACTTGTACTTGGAAAGAGTATACGTCTACCGAAACCAATCTGCTTAATAACCAGTAAGCATCTTTGCTTTGGAGACTCTATGTCTTTGTCTACGTCAGGATAGACTTTCAAGTATCATGTCATGCTTCTCCGTCCTGCCAGTTTTTTTCTTGGCTATTAGCTAATTACAATCTTGCAGCACCTCGGGCGGAAAGGCTTTTGCATTGCGACACGTTCTGCCTCAATGGCGACAAGGACCGAAGGGGGGTGGGGGGTTCCTTGTCCTCGTCCTCCCTTGATCCCTTGACAGAGCATCGATACCACCTCGTTGCAGAGTTTAACACTTTTTGCTTGTGTATGTATCCTTTAAAGCTTGACGGAGGTGTGTGTGAAGCGAATGCTGTCCCCTTGGCTCTATCCGGAGTTCATCTATCGACGCTCGGTACTTTTTGGCCAACAGAAGAAGGTTGTTGGCGTTCTCCTTGGGTTTGTGGAGCAGGTAAATTGATGACCGATTCCGTGCCATCCGTATGACCTATGACCTTTGATTTGCATGTTCCGCCAGCTGCTGGCACCGATTGTCTCGGTTGTGGATCTCGACACCACCAAGGAGCCATTGCAACAGGAGCCAAGAAGTAAATCCAAGTCTATTTTCATTGAACAGGTGAGGGAGCATGTTGAGCGAGGCCAACTGAGTTGGCAGGATGTCAGAGATGAGGCGAATGTCACCATTGCAGCGGTAAGTAAGAGATTCTAGATTAAAGCCCTAAGGGTAGAGCGGACTTTGCTTTCCTCTCGGACAGACCTTCGAGACCACATCGACGGCTCTCTACTTCACCATCCTCTGCCTGGCCATACATCCGAGCTACCAGGAAAAGCTCCATGAGGAGTTAGTGGCGGAGCTGCCGCCCTACGGGGACATTTCGTTGGAGCAGTTCGAGCGCCTTACCTACACAGAAATGGCAATCAACGAGGCCATGCGGCTTTTTGCGCCCGTTCCCATGGTCCTTCGCTCCGCAGCTCAGGATTTTCAGCTCCGGCGCGGTGACGACGAATTTCTGATCCCAAGCGGCACCCAGATTGGGATCGACATCTACAATATGCAGCGGGACGAGCGGGTGTGGGGACCATTGGCCCGCACCTACAATCCGTACGCGCACTTCGGACCAGAGGCGCCTCCCCGTCATGCCTTTGCCTTTGTGCCATTTACCAAGGGACTGCGCATGTGCATCGGCTACCGGTATGCCACGATGCTGATGAAGCTGCTGCTGGCCAAGATATTTCGATGCTATCGCATCAGCACAGAGGCTCGGCTGGATCAGCTCCTGGTCAAGGGCAATATATCTCTCAAATTGAGGAATTATCCACTGTGTCGGGTGAAGCGAAGGTAATGAAGGTCACGCTTCCATCTCCCATCAATGTCTCCAGCTCTTGTCCTGCCCACGTCGCACTTCATCTCAACCGTCTCGTTGCTGTAGTTTTCCAATTAAAAAATGTAATTCTTGTTGCATTTTCCATGCTGTAAATTGAATTTGTTTCACTTTTGCTGGGGGTTCGTTAGCTGACACTCCGCTCCCAGCGTAATTTGCATGCTTGCAAATGGCTATAATGGATTCCAGTTACCTCTTCTGCCTCCACTAGGTCCCGGCGTACGTTGCGTACACACAATATAATTGATTGAATTCCTTGATGGAATGCCTGCGATAGCGTGGGTCAGAATTCTGGCCCAAAGTGTCCTGAAATATGCGTAACTTTGTAGGGTTGGATGTTTTAGCGAACATTCTAACAAATTAAGAAGTCTCGGAAGGAAGCCGCAATGGAATAACCTGAATCTGTCATCAAAAGGGAACTTAGCAATAATTTGCATTCCAAATAATAAATTGTGCTAAAAACCAAAAATACCAATACAAGCACAATGACGCGCGCGCTGATGACACGCAGCATTGACATTGCTGTTTACATAATATAATTGTCCAGTGCACTGTTGCAGACTAAAGCAAGTAAGTAAATTAAAGGCTGGTAAGACGTTGTTGCCACATTCACCACACGCTCTGAGCTCTCACCTCTGATTTCCATTGTTGCTGTTGTAGTTGTTTGTAGTTGTCTGTCGCGCCTGTTCAACGCCTTAGAAATGAAATGTGCGCCGCGCGCCATTTAGTAGTTGTCTCGCTTGCACGCATATACAAAACCCACAATAGCACCCGACAAATTCAACCTTCGATAGCTCAGTTGGTAGAGCGGTGGACTGTAGATGGAAACACATGCAATAGAAATCCATAGGTCGCTGGTTCAAATCCGGCTCGAAGGATTGTAACATTTTTTATTTTTTTATATTTTAAAACATATTTAATAATATTATTCCGATATACTGCAGTAAATAAGACAGTTTGCTCTGGCCAACTTATTTATTGGCTTTTATCAAAAATAAACTCGCTTTAAAATTAATTTATTGTCGTATGCAATATAGAATTATTAACATCTACTCTTTGTCTATATGCTAAACTGAAGAGGAATGGAATTATAAATAATAATTATAGTAATAATAATTCCAGTTGTTCTTCCTCGAGTTTGCCCACCGTAATCTGTGTTTGTGAAATTCAAACTTCGGACAAAGAAATAGATTGGTATCTCGACAGCCACGCCTTAAGCTTCCATTTTACTTGAGGGTCTTGACTGCAACTTGCAACAAAATATACATAATTCAATAGCAGCAGCGTCCTTGCCATAACGGACTCGACCTCAGAGAAGATGTTAAAAGTGGGCAAAAAGTGATTGCGACTCGTTAACGCTTCGAAATACAGGGAACAGCCGTTGCTGCAGATGGTTCCGGTCAGGGATGGCTGTGTAATCACAACATTAATCTAATACGCGTGTTTAGTGCGGCCTGGCGGGCAGCCAACTTAATAATAGCTTTCGGAGCGCTTTGCAATAAGTAATTAAATCATTTAGAGCAAATCAAACTGACGGATGAGAAGATGACGCAGTCAAAGAGGAGAGCAAAGGCCACTCCACTCCGATTCGACTTCGACTTCGACTTCGACTCCGACAACGACTCAAGCTCTTAAGCAAATAGTCGCCAAGGCTCTTTGGGTCTCTGGGTTTCTGGTCTGGCTTATTATTAATGAGGAAAAGTTTTGCAAGTTTTCAATTAGTTATGCGCCCATCCACAGTTGCCCGCCGGCAACGCCCCTCTCGCGCGGCCGACTGGAGCATAATCAAGACAAACGTTGGCTCATAATAAAATATTTAGTTGGATTTCCCTGGCCAGTCCCATTAATTGACTAGCAACCAGCTATTTGTATAACAAGCCGAGACGTTGTTTCCATTCAGGGCGGTTACGGCTGATTATGTTGCTCGGTTTGGCTCCGCTGCTACACTCGGGCCGGGTTGCCTGCATAATGTGATTAATTGAATATCAAGGCAGCAGACACCTGAATACGAGGAGCAGAAACAGCTTTGGCTTCAGCTGTGCCATGTCTCGCAAGTTAACCGATGCAGTCAAGGCCTCTACTTCGAAGAGCACTACTCGTACTTATGCCACATGCAGACTGCATTAAAGTCTTTAATTTGGTTTTCCTTCATCACCGAAATGAAGTGAGAAGATACCTTACTAAATTCGACTAAGAACTAACAGCTAAGAGCTGACTTTAATTATCGGAGTTGGGTTTTGCTCTACTTCTGGTCCCAAGTATACGAGCCAGGCGCATTAATTGGATCGGTTGGCTGAGATCAAAACCATTGAGGAAAACCATTTTAAATTATTTATTTACATACAACCCTTTTATCTTTTTTGCAGTCTTTCTCTCTTAATTGTGATACACTTTACGACACTTTCGACAAGTTTGTCTCAATTCTAGCTAAGCCACAAAGCAGGTAACACTTGGTCGAGCTACAACAATGCACTGTGGCTGTGGGCCTGGATGCCTGGGCGCCTTAATTACAGTAAAACATTTACCAAGACGTCCGTATGAGCATATGTATGCACTCGCATGAATATGTACATATGTATTTATGTAGGTATGTGTCTACGTGAAAGAGCTGGCTAATAAACAAAACATTCCTCAAAGCCCGGAATGGCGGATGGCAGGATAGAAGCAGGAAAACCGCATTAACAAGCAGCTGCTGCAGCATACAGATCCTAGGCGTAATTAAGTTTACTCTCAGCTGACGAGAGACGCGCCACGCGGGACCCCAACGAAAATCTTATCTGGAAAACCTGGCAAACAAACCACAGTATGGGATGGGAAAGGCCGATGCTGACGCCGACGCCGACTCGACAGAAGCCGACCGCAGGCAGGGAAAGGCCAGACCCCGACCCCATCAATGTTAATGCTAATTGTTATTGTAGTTAACATGGGGCACGGGGTGGGGCGGTGCGTGGAAGAGTCGAAAGTGCCTGGCCGCTTACCTCAAATTGAATTAGACTCATATGTGGTCGTCAGAGACAGTTTGCAACTTCCCAACTCAATTTGGCAGCTCACAAAGTTTCCCATACACTGACAAAATAAAAGGCGCTGCATACCCCCAACAGTTCAGTCGGACCAACCACAGCGCTGAAATGTTTTTATCAGTGTAGGCTCAATGCTCACTATTTTCAGGGCGCTCAACTAAATCACAGTGAAAATATTTCACAAAATTGCATTAAAAACTTTTCTACCATGCACTGCAAAATTTCAGTACAAAACGACCAAAACGACAAAATGAAATAAATTTGTGACATTGTTCAGGCAAGTGGCGGCAACTGAAGAGGACATATGTACATACATATAACCCAGTTATTAGGGGATACTCGAGAGTACAAGAATGCATTTATTCGATAAAAATAAACTTACAGTCCATACTCTTGCGTACTCACTCCGTCAGTGTGTCTGTAATCATGCGCCCGATAAAGAAACTTTTGTTGTTACTGAAAATAATTGATTTCAAATGATGCAACTGACTGATTATATTTAACTAAAGTTGACGTTTTCATTCGATGTTCTATATTTTCGATTTAAATTCAATGATTCAACTATCAAAATTGAATAGGGGGAAGTAAATAATTCATATATGTATAAAGGTAAACGAAACAACCACAATTTTGTCTCTTCGTTGAGAATTAAACGGTTTTCCATATTAAACCATTTTGCAGTTGTGCCAGTAAAATGAGTGAAGTCTGCAGCATCGATCCCGCAGTTGGCACAAGTCCAAATATATGCCGCTACTATGTGCAGGGCATTTGTCAGTTTGGGGCACTTTGCCGCTTCTCTCACGATTTAAGTCAAGGTAGTCCAGAGAATGAGAATCAAATTTGCATTGCACCAGATAATGCTGTGATGGGAAGCACCAAGCCAAGCACCAGTCCAAAGTGCCGAAACTGGGCGGAGGCCCCGATTTTTGTGCCTAGTCTGCAAGACCTGACCGAAAATAGGAATAAAGCTTCTGGAAACATTGCTGATGAAAACGGAAACCATGTCGCATTATTGAATGAGGTTGGTCCATATCACAGTTCGTGGGATTATTCGGACTATTTCCCGTATCATATGCATATGGAACTATGCAAGATGTGTGACCAGTACTGTCTGCATCCCACGGATCGAGCTCAACGTAAGGAACACAACCTGGAGTGCTTGAAACAGCACGAAAAGGCCATGGAACTTGCCTTTGCAATCTCTCGATCTAAGGACAAGGCTTGTGGAATATGCTTTGAAAAAATCATGGAAAAGTCGGGTCGAGAAAACCGATTCGGAATCCTGCCCAATTGCAACCATATCTTTTGTCTGGAATGCATTCGCAAATGGCGTCAAGAACAAGACTTCGATCATAAAGTAACGCGAGGGTGTCCAGTTTGTCGCATAGCTTCGGACTTTGTCTGCCCCAGTGGATTTTGGGTGGACAGCCAGCAGGATAAGGATCAACTTTTCAACGACTATCGCGCTGCATTGGGAGCCAAGGATTGCAAATACTTTAAAAAAGGCGAGGGTTCGTGCCCATTTGGGAACAAGTGCTTTTACAGACATTCTCTGTCAAATGGGGATATCGTTGATGTGGGTTTGCCAAAGCGCACTCGAAAACTACATGGCCATAATGAAATAACAATTTAATTAATAATCGAAATATCTTGCCAAGTTTCGAATAATAAAATTAAAGCCAACAAAGAATAAAGAGCTAAACACGCGTACCTACATACATTTAATATAATTATTGATACTGTTTACAATGTCGAGTGCAAAATTTATTTGAATACAAAATTTAATTTTGTTTAAAAATGTACATATTACTGTATTGTATGAATCTTATTTAAAGCGTAGAAATAATCAGAAACATTTTCGTATTTTAAAGAATTTAAATCAAATAAAAATAATATTAATATAAAATAATATAATAATATTATTTTAAAATTCAATCAAATGTCTTAATGTTTTCGGTGTCGCATACGAATAAGTACTAGTTCAGAATAATTTTAGTTATCTAAGCGAGATCTTACAATCATGGTGAAGGTGGAATACCCCAGGCTCAGCTTTTTTACTTGTTACACATCATATCAGATACCGGACCCAACTGAAAGTTTGAAGTATTCGACCCTCCCTCAGGAGAGGGCCTTCGGTGCTAAATGGCCTTGTGCCCTCTTGAAAAGTGGAAATGTGTTTCAACTTCGCGGCCCTCATCCTTTTATGAGACTGGAGAAAGTTTTGTTGTTTGACAAATTGTTTTGTGCAGTCGCCGGAGGAAATAAAAGGCAACATTCTACTGTAATCGGGGGCCGGATCGAGATGGGAGTGGGAGATGTGGATGAGAACGAGAACGAAGCAGAATGGAGATGTGGACAGTGCCATCAATGTGTAATGAATATGGGGTGGGGGATTCGGAACTGAAGTAAGAGCAGAGTTTAAAGCGCGAACAAGAGAAGCGAAAACAAATACAGGCTCCTTGTCGCCTGGTGGTCCCCTTCCGGTTGCCGCGTCAGTGGCCAAACTTTTTGCCGCTCGCCCTGCAGCTGCAGCGGCGCATAAATTAGCAAACATGAGGCGAGCGGAGCGCGTGACTGTCGGACCTGCGGAGGAGCCTGCCGTGACCCTGCTACGTCCTCCCGGCTGGCTCCACCGGCAAATGGCTTACTGATTGACTACCTACGCTCCAGCCCGTGGACCAGTTCCCACGTGGTGCTAACCAGAGACAAGAGGGCCTCTTGTCTGGCTGCAGCAAATTAGCGATGTTCATGTGGTCCACTCTCCGCCCTCTGCGCGTCAGTCCTCTTCACTCGGAACTTCGTTGGGAAATAAAAGCACTGACTTCCCCCGAAATTGGCAAGCGCAATTAATTAAAAAGTTTGCTGCAAAATGCAATCGGACTGAACTCAGCACTGGAAGGCGTTTGGGTGGGGAGTGGCCTTCCATGGAATGCGACGGGATTGGACGGGATGGGATTGGGTGAAACGAAATGGTCGTCAGACAAAGCTCTAAAAACATTTTTCCAGCTGGCGAAAAATGCGCTAAATTGTTTTTTTTTGTTTCGTGCTGAGCGAATTTAATTAAAAATTGCGCATACGCCAGGTGGCACTAACGCAAAACATAAAGCATTGGATTACGGAAATATGTCATGAATAGCTATGAAATGGTGCGATGCTACTCGTAAAATATACATACTATGAATAAAGATTAAAGTGAGCAGAGCTCGTACATAAAAATGTCCGAGCTGGTCGTAAGGAATAATTCAATCCAATCAATTTATGGATTCAGATTTTCGTTCCAATGGTAAAGGATATATGTATATTTAAATTTTAACGGTATGTTTAATATTATTTAATGTGATTCTACATAATACTCATAGGACTGTACGGAATTTTTCTTTTCATTAGCGTACGCCACGATTAAAGCAGCTCATCAAATGCTAAGAATATGTACTCCATGAAGCTATGTCTATTCACGTATTCGTCTGTGCCTCAAAATGTATCTGATTTGGCAGCTGCGCTGTCTGTTTTGCGTACTCGTATTTCCTTTTTCCTTTGGTAATTTTCATAAAAATTATGCAGATTAAATGTGGCAGCAAAGTTTGCTTAGCCAGGCAAGTGACATTAAACTCCCATAAGGCGCAGCGGCAGCGGCAGCGACAGCGACAACAAAGATGTCTAAATAATAAAGGGAGCTCGCGCTGTTTGGGGCGACGCACAAGTTGATTGAATAAATCACAGCAGGTAAATTTCTGTTGGAAAAAGACTCGACATGCGTGAGCACAGTCTGACACACTGAAGAGCTGACTAAAGAGCAGACTACGGATGCGAGTACGAATGTGTCTGCACATATTTAATGTTACTGACTTTGTATTGCACAGAGGCAGACCAAGACTCCGCTCCCGGACGAGGCCCAAGCTCAGCTTCAAGCACACAGCGCTTTGGTGTAAAGTTTTCTCGTTTACAGGCTGGCAAGAATCTGGCCAAGGAGCGGCCAGGCACCCGAGATAACTCAGACAGGAGCGGGGACCGGGCCCGGGTATGCCACTTCATGGCCATTATGGCAACAGTGTGTAACAATTTCTTAAAATAAACTGAATCCGGGGTCGGATGGGCCGGCCCAGAGGGAATTAAATTAGTGTGCATTTATTTATATTTGATGTTCGCGAAAACTTGCGCACATTTTTGTAACTGGAGCATTTGAAGAATTCGGTACGGGTATTCTAACTGATAAACCTCTTCGTGGGCTTGGGCTCCGTTCCCCCTTGTCTACCTCAATGGCTCTCTAAATATTTTGTGAAATTAATTGCATGGTGCTGAGGTCTAATTAAATGCCTCACCAGAGTTAGAAGCAAACGTACAAGAAATTTACATGATCACGACACGCAAACATATGGTGTGGTGTTCCGCACGGAGAATTTTGCCACCTGTGAGGTGTGCAAAGTTCACGTGGTAATTAGCATTTTCTATGAGCCATCTCCCAGGCTTAATTCCATCGATACGGAGCGCCACGCTTCTATCAAGGCTGTGGGGCACTTGAATGTACACACCACCCTTTGTACATACATTTTCCTATTCAATAAATGCAAATTTTACTGCAATTATTTCTAAGAATATATCCCCCACAAATGGCCCACATTCGACGGCCAAAGGTCAAGTGTGACGCTAGCGTATTCAATTAAATATCCTATATCCATTGAATTTTGTATCTCCCATATAAAGGGCTAAATAAAACAAAACAAGCCCACCAAAGGATGTTTGTTTAGGTCAAGTTAGAACGTATTCAGTTGAAAGTTGGCTGAATCTCGCGAGCTCTTGATAGGCATACATATATATGCTTTATGTATATTTTTAATAACCAGTACTCAAAGAGTATGGGAATAAAATAGTGAATGTATATGTGATCCTGCGTGGATAGAACTCTCATTTATTTTCCGAGTGTTCACTGTACTCTTAGTAATATACACATATGTATGTGCACCCACATATGGGTGTGCTATTCAAGCTTGTATTTCTTTTGAGTTTGAAGTAAAACTAAAAACGAGTATGTATGCTTGGATATAAATTGCTACGAGTATGATTAAGAAATTCAGGCTATACCTTTATTCTTTATCCTCCTGTACTTATTAAGAAACTTTAAAGGAAAGTCAATTAGGCATTTAGTTAGCAACAACAACGACAAAATCACGAAAATGTTAATTATAAGACACGCCTCTGCAGACACCTTCGTAGGGGAAACTTTTAAAAACTCATTAGTGCATACATTTAGGGTCCCTTAAATAGCCAGTCGAAGCCTCCAGATACGCACTTCGGTTCCGAGTCCAAGTCTGACCATATGGCAAGCCTTCAGTTCCACGGCAACGTTGATGTGGACACCAGGTACGATGCGTCGCTGGATCCTGCCCGTGAGCCTGAATTGTTTGGAATGCTGATGGGCGTGCAGCTGGGGATGGGCATGGAGCCATCTCCGAGATTGCCCAGATGGTGGCCCAGTTGGCTGCGGTTAGTGGGCGGGCTGATGGCCAAGACCTACTGCTCGATAGTGATCTTGATCTCGCTCCACTTGTGTCTGCTGTTCACCAAGACGACGCTGGACGTTCTGCCAACGGGCGAGCTGCAGTCCATCACCGATGCCTTGACCATGACCGTCATATACTTCTTCACGGGCTACGCAAACATATACTGGTGCGTGCGGTCGAAGCGATTGTTGGCCTTCATGAAGCATATCAATAGCGAGTATCGCCACCACTCGCTCGCAGGCGTGACCTTTGTGAGCACTCAAAGAGCCCAAAGGTGGACCCGCAACTTCACGGTCTCATGGGTCCTAGCCTGCCTGTTGGGGGTGCTCCTCTGGGGCTTGTCCCCTCTTATGCTGGGCGTACGGACTCTTCCCCTTACCTGCTGGTATCCCTTCGACGCCCTCGCCCCAGGCACTTACATGGCGGTGTATGCTACTCAGCTATTCGGGCAGATTTCGGTAGGCATCACGTTCGGCTTTGGTGGATCCCTGTTCGTCGGCGTGTGCCTGCTGATGCTGGCCCAGTTCGATGTGCTCTACTGCAGCCTGAAGAACCTGGATGCGCACTCCAAGCTGCTCTCGGGCGAGACGATTAGGGGGCTGGGGTGAGTGGAATTTTATCTGGCTAACTAAATTGGGTGAGTCCTGTTTTCTTGCCTCGTTAGTCTGCTGCAAGAAGAGCTGCTCCAGGGCGCCTCCACGCGGGAGCTGAATCAATATGCTGTGCTCCAGGAGCATCCCACAGATCTCCTGAGAATCTCCCCGGGATCGCATCACCTTGGGCAGGTGAAAGTGTTTCACAGTGCTCTCGTGGAGTGTGTGCGTCTGCATCGCTTCATCCTGTACTGCTGCGCGGAGCTGGAGAACCTATTCAGCCCGTACTGCCTGGTCAAGTCCATGCAGATCACACTACAGCTTTGTCTGCTGATGTTCGTGGGCGTGTCCGGCAGCCGCGAGTTCCTGCGCATCGTCAATCAGTTTCAGTACCTGACGCTGACCCTGTTCGAGCTGCTGATGTTCACCTATTGCGGAGAGCTGCTCAGTCGGCACAGCGTCCGATCCGGAGAGGCCTTCTGGAGAGGCGGATGGTGGAAACACGCCCACCTCCTACGCCAGGACGTCCTGATCTTTCTCGTTAACAGCCGCCGGGGCGTGTATGTCACTGCTGGAAAATTCTACGTGATGGATGTGAATCGCTTGAGATCGGTAAGAAGCATCTGCTTCTTCGCGCGGCTCCCACGTGACTCTAGAACCTCCTTCTTTCAGGTTATAACGCAGGCCTTCAGCTTCTTGACACTCCTCCAAAAGCTGGCCGCCAAGAAGGCCATCGCGGAGCCCTGAACTGGAACAGCACTCATCCGCGTTGTCTGTGAATGTTGGTATTTATTTTCCACATTAAAACCTTGTCGAGCGAAAGCTAAAAAATATTTGCGTTCATTGTTTGGCTAACATTTTGGAACAGCGACAGATGTGCTCCTTCTCCACTCCCCCTCCAATTGGAGCTCCCAGTCCCGTCCCTATATCTGTTCTGCCTTTGGCTTGTCACTGATAAACAGCCCTTTCCTTAGCAAAAATTCGAAAGGCACCCAACTCAAATGTGTGGCCACCCATCAAGTCGATACTGAAGATACTCTTTAGATGTTCCTTTTATTTGTATAAAATGAAAGAATTTCCATTAAAACAAAGTGTTATTTCCCATTTCCCATTTTCGTTCACTTGATCCATTTTTATTCAGTCACAATCACAATCAATAATAAGTAATTAAGAATTAAAATAGCAGACAATAACTTTCTCTTCATTTTAAAGGATATTCGGATCAAAGTGCAGAGAATTAGTTGTCAGGAAGCAGAGACACAATTGGGGAATAGAAACAAAGATTTTAAAAAACCAAAAAGAAATGGTGGATAGTCCGATTAAAGTTATCATTTTGGCCTAATTGTAAAGACTTTCTATTTATTCCTTTTTTCCATTTTATTTTCTAATTCTTTAGATTCGATGTATGTAATCAGTAGAATTTTTTAGTGCTACAAATTAACTACGGCACCGTAAATGTGGCAGGGTTCCTGACTTTTTGAATTCACCCACTGGGACTGGGCTACGTACTTTAAATGCCTACTCGTATCTGCTGGGCAAAGTTCTCAGATTTCGGAAGACGCCCAAGAGTTGACTTTAATTTTGCGATTGCACGTCGTACGCATACATACATACATACTCGTGTAAACTTATGGCAAAGTTTTCAACTCATTTGCGCTGTGAATTTTTCATTGTGTCGCAGAGACAAGCACGCACCCGAGCACCCATGGACTCCCACATGGAAAAAAGTTTCCTTCTTTGGGGGCTCTAGGCGGTACGGCTTCAGTCCCGCGTCCGTGCACGGCCGTGTGAGCACTGCGACGGGTGTATGTATTTATAGAGACTCATTTGTTTCAGTTTTTGCTGCCATCATTCGGGCGCCATTGCGCTTAGATGATTACCTTTTTGGTCCTTTGTACGAGTTTGTGCTTTTTGTGCCTTCGTTCGGCTTTGTTGCGCTGCGGAAATTCCTTTCACTTTTCTACTTCCGCTCGACGCTAACTACCTTTATGCGTGTCTGCCGGGGCCAGCAGCACATTTATATTACATGATATTTGATAAGCGGAATGCATACTTGAGCCCCCATTCCCCTAGATAAATGGCTGGCCATATTTCTCTGCAAATGCCTGTCGGTGTCGTGGCTACGGGCAAGGAGCTTATCGGCCTTCGATGTCCATAATGAAAGTTTAGATGGCCCAGACTTAAAGGCTCCTGGGACCAAAGTGGTCAGCTGGCATAGCCATGGAAACTGGAAAAAAAATGCACTCCAGAGCAGCTGCATTTGCAAGCCAGCCTAAGCCCTCAAATGGATGCTTAAGCTGGTCCAATGATCGGAATACATCGCGAATAAATCAAGCCAAGTGCAACAATCAGAACATAATCCGTGAATAAATTGAACAGACAGGGAGAGCGAGCGCTATAGAAGCTATCTGCGTAATAGATACATACATACCAAAGAATTCAATATACCAATTGGCCAATAGTTCGTCCTGGCTGGCTGAGGTTTAACTTTTCCAACACACAGGAGCCCGACTATCCGTAGAGTTCACAGAATTGGTTAATAAAACTAATTTATATTTTAAGCCGAGCCACAGTTGACTGAATCCGAGCCCATAGAAGTTGAGCGGGGTGAATGAAAACGAGATTTCCTTCTCTTTTCCTGCCCTGCACTGCCTTGCCAGTCCCGACCGTCCCATTCTGTCAGTGTTCGGGCAAAGGGCCAACAAAAACTGGCTATGTAGAGTGCCTGCATACCATTGACAGGACTTAGCCGCAGGCATGGCTGTCAATACCCCAGCTCTACCCCTCGCCATTCCCTACGCCCTTTCGACAACTTTCAACTTTGAAGTTGTCTCGTGAAATTAAATTAACACAAAGGCATGCCGTGTCAACTTTTTCGGCAGTCAGCTGGCGGTATTTTAATTGAAAGCAATCAATATGGGAAACCAGCAACGGCATCGCAACTCATCCTCAAGAGGAATAGCAGACATCTGAAGGGATGGGGTGGACTTATGACTTGTCCGTAGCTGAAAACTTTAAAGTGTTTTTGGCTCCCGTACTCGTAGATACAGAGACTATGTACAGAGACAGAGATTCGATTTCGATGCCCATATACATCATAATTGAGACACCAGTCTGAATCATGATGAAATGAACCCTGATTCGATTCACACTTCACACCCTAGCAAGGCCATGTCACCTGTGAAGATGTTATACCCTCAGCACGGACGGACTGTCTGTCGACAGGGCTTTAATCTAATAAGGCTGTCAAAGGGCTTGGCCATAGCCAAGTACCTGTTGGCTAATTTGATTTTTGCCCTTATATTAAATATGCATTTGGGTACGTTTGTGAGTTTTGGAATTTAATTGCCTTCGGATAGTGCATCCTGCCATGTACGCATTGTTAGGACACACAAGGGAGTCTCCCACAGGGCCTTGTGTGTGTGTGTTGTGCCTGAAACTGTCATACGAATGGCAAGCAGCTCTGCTGGCTCCTGGCTCTGGTCTGGTCTGGTCTGGTCTGGGAGCAGAACAAAGGACTGACACAGGAACCAAACAGTGTCACATATAATTTAGCATCAAAGCGATATGTGTACCGTGTGCATGGCCAGTTAGGGTCAGGTGGGCGCGTGTGTGCTAATGACAGCTTTCACCTGCTCGACAATTTGTCAATGGCATTCAATAGATCGCCCGGGGAGGGGTCTCTTTGCTTTTTTCCCTATATACCTACAGCGTATACGTGTATGCATATTTGATTTCGAGCGGTCTATTGCTGCTGGAGAATACCTTCTGTTTGTGTGCTGGTTTGGCTTTAAAGCTGCTTTAAAATGTTGCGGAATTGCATGGCATTCAGAGCTGCCTTTTGTGCAGCAGACAAAGAGCCAATCGAAATGGCCATAAAATGCGCAACAAGCAGCATCCAGCAGCATCTGGAGCATAAATCAATGCAATCAATGCGCACGGTTTTCATTGCAATTGGCATGATTTTTCCATTCCCCTTCTCCGATATGCTCACCCAGGAAAATATTTTATACATGAATTTGTTTGTCCGTTTTCTGGAAGCCAAGGCCAATTCGGGTTGTGCTGGGACCCCTTTATACCCTGCATAATAGTTGGTATGGGGAACTAAATCTTCGAGTCTACCAAGGAAAGAAAAGTCTGTAGGTGCTCAATGCATCCCTGAAAAACTACATTCATTGAATTGAATTTTCTTCTACATCTTCAGATTCGTATATTCTCTTTCTTTTTATTCTATTTCCCCATCCGAATCAATCCAGGGCGTGCAATCATCGTCCTATGTCACGTTTTTTCTCTCTCAGAAAATTAATTTCGCTCTGGGGCTTTTGCAAAGACCATTTTGTGCTTTGACTCACGCTTTTAGAACCTGGTTTTTTTTCTTCAAAAAATTCTCTTTCTTTAAAGTGACGAGATGTATTTTTGGTTTTCAAATTTCAACATTTTATAACAATTAGTGGAACTCTAAAATCGGACAATCGTTACAAATGGGTGCAGGGCATGCCATCGTCGCTTTTTCTCTTTCAGGATGTGCTTCATTCGATACCAAAAGCATTTTAACGCCAACTGCGGCTGTTGTTTTCTTTGTTATTCCGCTGATATGTCCGACCAATGGACAAACAAATGTGAATGGGGTTTTTTCAGGTGCTTTTCCGTTGTAGGCCTGCACTTTTGAGTGCCTTTCAGCTCTCTCCCCTCAACCGGGGCCCGTGTGCCTTTGCATACGGAGAACAGCTGAAATATTTACCAAAAAAAAACTATTATCCCCAGCACTCCACCTCCGCCTCCACCACTGCACACACATATAGAGATTAAAAGCGCCTGAAAGTGCACTACAGCTGCTGGGATGTTTCCACTTCTGTTGACTGCCCTGGGGGCGTAGTCGGGGCGAAAAATTCAAGTTGGCGGCGTTGTCGCTTCGCACAAAAACCGTTTATTACAGTAACTTTTTTCTCGAGTGGAGGGGTCGCGAGTGGTGGAAGCAGGGACAGGGACAGGGACAGGGACAGGGTTGGAACTGGAGTGGAGATGGGGCAAAGGAAATCCATTAAACGGCCTCCACCATCTACGCCGGCACGGATTCCGTGCTACTTTACGAGCTCTTAAAGCTGGAAATAAAATTAAGAGACGCTGAGTAGTCGCAATTTGGACTGTGATCATTTTTTACGGGGTTTGTTTCTTTGCGTTTGCGACTTTGTAGCGGCCCCTTTTTCCCCTCTCAGCGCATTCCGTTTTTTCAAGGCCTCTTCAAGCACAAATTTGCGCGGCATTAGCTTACATTAATCCGCCAAGTACCCTGAAATAATTATCATTTAACTTATGACGATAATGCACCAGGCCCGAATCCGCTTGGATTGGCCCCTGGCCCCGGGCCACCCACGCTGCAGTCCGCTCTCAGGGGAGGGCCCCAGGCTGTGTGCCTAACACTAGTGCGTGGGCGGACGTGAACGAAGTTGGTTGTAGTCGTGGACGTGGACATGGACGTGGGCGGTGACATTTCAATTGCAATTTTATCTACCCACTTTACCCAATGGGGAAAAATCTATTTTCGTCCTTTCACTGCAATTATTGGAACTGAAAGGCTGTGAACTTTAAATGACCGGTAGAGAGAAGGTCTTTGCTGGCTGAAAATAATAAACGTAGCTACCAACAATACTATTACTGGACGAGTTCGAGTACTCCATAGACAGGTTTAAGTCGATCAATATAATTATTAAGATTTCCGGCAATACTCGTATAACTTCATTTGTATTATGGGGAACAAGTTTATTGCAAATATTCATGTACAGTTTGTTTGTTTATTAGGTAAATAATAAATAGTTGTAGCTAAAATAATAATTAGTTGAAAGTTAGTTAGTGTCCTTCTTGTTGATTATGGTGACTGCCTCCTGATTAGCATCTACATAAGCTGGATTGAACTCTCAGCATATTTTCCTGAGAATTGTACCCTTCCCAGGGTATCTTAGACTCCGCAAAACCTTTCGGTACTTATCCGCAGTGGTTCGGTTGTGGGGGAGTGCTCACATCGTTGCTCGCTCAATGCTTAATTGAGTGGAATTTCACATGGAAATCAATGCGACTGGAAGGGAGGGAGCTCAAAGGATAGACGCAGTCTGTTGACGTCAACTTGACGCCTTCATCAGTCCCGTTCGATTCATTGGTCCCGTGGGAGTGTTAATTTGTGGTTGCAGGCAAATACTGTTTCGTGTGTCGGAATGAAACTCAGTTTGACTCTGATTTAATGCACATTTAATACAAATCATAAACAATCGGAATACATTCATATAAATCATAATGCACTATAGCTAATATGTTTCACATATTTATTTATCTACGTTTCAGTGTCTTTGACTTAGTTTAGGAAGGATTCGCTATGGCTATCGTAAAATACACATTTATAAGGGGGTAGGATATGTCGCTTTGGGGTGTTTGGATTTGTTCTGATTATCTTTATATTTGCTAAACGGCTGTAACTGCTACGGTGGATGCGATTCCGGCTTCTATAGCTAAACATCTTTGGAAAAGCAGTAGAAATTTGAGCCTTTTCTTCTTATCCTTAAAATCTTTTACAAATTCGAAAATATCGCATCAAAACTTGCTCCAGGGATGGGGAAACCTTAAGTTTGACTCAACAGAAAACTGCTATGTAGTTCTGCTGCTGGTGTACAGAATAGTAGTGGTTCCAACTGAGAATTAACCTACCATATAGTACATACATTCGCTTATTTGCTCTCTCCATCCGATGCATCCATCCATCCATCCATCTACCATCTAATCATATATCACCACATTCAGCTTCACTACAATCTAATCTAGTCAGGACAAGGCTGGATGGGCTCTTCGATTCTAAACTCTTAAACTTGAACTATACACGAATTAAACACGAATTAATTGGTATGCCCTAGGGTATTATTGTTGTCAGGTGAAATATGGTATGTACAGTACTTGACTTGTCTCATAGCTCAGTTTTCAGTTACAGACACTCGTTCAGCTGAAGAGTTCGTCTGTGGATGCTGTTCCTTATATCTAGGACTACTGGTAAAAGCGTTTTGTCACAATGCTCCCCCTTTTTGACTTATAACTATTACAAATTACACATAAACATACACAGATCAACGATCAATCTAAAATATATCAGTAGCTTTACAGTGCGCTACATTTAATCGTACAATAGACAATATTAAAAAATAAATTGCACCAACACTCGAAGCACACTACTGTATGCATACTTGTAATTATATGTTTAAATTTGCTGTCTTGCTTTAAATTCGTGTTTGCCTAACATTATGTGAATTATTTGCCTCATAATACGAGTAGTTTGATGCAATGTCTGAGTATTTGTATTTGATCATTAAATATTTCCCTTTTGCTTGTGCCAACATTTTTTTCCTGCAAGAGAAGTCGCAAGCTGCCAACTTTTTAATAATACAAAATAATGATTGCAAACTTGATTCTGCACCAAGGTCTCTGGCGGGGAACATCGATATGGAAATTCGTAAGCCTATTTCGAGCGCTTGGTAGCTCCTATTAGGAGCGGGTGCAGGTTTCCATTAATGTTTATTGCATAGAAATTTCTATTCCCAAGCTCCCACAGTACTTTTGTAGGGTATTCTTGTGTGTATGTATATAATGAACATATGTGCCAGAAAAGCGTATGGGCAAGAGGAAAAGTAAAAAGGAAAAAGCGAAGAGGGGGGTTGTGCCCATCGACTGACTGACTGTCTTTGTTGTTTGCCCTGCGGCCTGCTATTAAAGTTCAATGAAGTTCCTTGAGTGTGTCACTTTGTGACCCACAGACCCACCCACTCCCTCCACCGACTACCAGCCCAACAGGGACCTGCTTCACCATTGATTCAATGAAGTGGAAAAAATATTTCCGCTGGCGATAAAATTGCTATAAATTTCAAAGTGCCGCCAGGGCTTCCTCGTGTCTGTTTTCGGCATAGCAGGGCCTCCTGCTATAAGGGTACGAGTAGAAGTTCAGGCGCTAAAAATTTGTCAGCAAAAAATGTACAAATTTTTTTGGCGTTGTGAGGTGTCATCGCGACAGCCTCTTTGAGTGGCTGCCACTAATGGCGTCATTACCCATCATCTCCCCTTCACTGGCCTGTGCCTCTGCGCTTCTTTGGGTACTTTGTAGCCGCCTGGTGATATGGCGCTTCAAGCTTGGGGAGCTGAATGGAAAACTTTCATGCCAATGGCTTTTGTTATTACTGTTGTTGGTGCTACTGTTCTGTTGTTCTCCTGTTGTTGTTTGAAGTCTTTTAAGCATCTGCTTCGGCTCACTCTACGGCTATGGCTGCCGCTCCGCATCCTGACCGCCTCAAGGGTCCGTCCGGTCCAAGCTCTTACGTGACCAGCTGAAATTTTTCATTTACCCACAGAAATAAAACAAAATGAATGAACTTTTCAAATAAAAATAGCAATCTGCTAGGCCAACAAAAACAACACGAGCCACACCGCCATCAAGCACACGAACGAACAAACAACAAAAGTCACAAATTCCCCTGGATTTGTGTACGTGTCGGCTCCTTAAATGATTTGGTATACGATTTTCGTGCATTTGCGGATAGAACATTTCACATAAATTCACGGCATAATTGCCTGCCTCTATCGAATATCACCTATCGAGGGGAGTCTTATGTATAAGACCAGCCGGAATGGAACTCGTGCCCTTTAAGAAAATACCCACAATTCAGTTTAAATATATGAATTTTTAAATCCCAACGTATGTGTGTGCACAGTGCACAGGAGTCTGTACAACAAACGCGGCTGTTCTGACTCTCATAGTATCTGGGTGCTAGGGAACAATCAAGGAGATGTTGCTCGAAAATATATACAAATATTTCTATCTGAGGGTTACATTTTTTCGTAGTTTCAATGCAATCTTCCAGGTCGTAGTAACATGTGTTTGTGGATTCAACTTTGTAGGAATTTATTTAAAAGAAGAAATGGATTTTTCGTACACTCTTGGCACTTTGGTACCAGAATACTGTTCGTATTATTCAAGTCGAACTTAATTTTCAAGATACCCGCAGTCGGAGAAGGTTATGTTTGCTATTCCACTACCTGCGGGATGCCTAAGCCTCCTGGAATTTTCAATTGATGAAACTATCTTGCCCTCCCCCTAACAGCCTTACACTGCTGACCGGACATGTGTCTTCAATGGCATGCAAATTGAATTTGAAATTAATTAGAGGGACATAAGCGCTTAAGCCTCGAGGACATTTAGTACACACACACACACACACACACACGCAAAACAGACTCGGAGGTGTACGAGTATGTGCCAAGAATGGGGACAAGTGGAGCGACAGCGAACCACAAATTGTGTATACGACACGTTGTGCGGTGGACCGCAGACAAAACGGACTGGGTGAAGCACTCTTTCCCTGGTTGTGGGTTTATCTGTTGCTTCCCACTGCCCCCTTTCTCTTGAGGACGCCCACAGGGGCTGCCCGCTGGCGTCGTTGACCTGCGGGCCCTGGTCCTTCTGGCGCCTGCAATGCAATGGAATCCTGAAAGTCCACGCTGGGGCATTTCTGGGGCTTCGCCTTGAGTTTGCTTGGCTTAACGGGCGTCTGCTATCTGCTCGGTCTCCAGGCGCTCGTGCTGGAATAGCGGCACAGCAGGACCTTCTTGAATGCCTGCCTGAAGACCTTGTTGAAGATGGTGTAGAAGATGGGGTTGACCATGGAACTGGCATAGCCCAGCCAGGTGACCACGTCAAAGACCCAGTGGCTGATCCTCTCCTCACACTCGCCGCACACCGTCGGCAGCAGGTTGAGCACGAAGAAGGGGGACCACAGAATGACGAATGTGAAGAAAACGACGCCCAGGACCTTGGTGGCCTTCTGCTCCAGCCGTATGATTCGGCCGTGACGCGACGAGTTTCTCGAGATCACACTGGAGTTTCTGGAATGGTGAGAGCGAACAGTCTGCTGCCGCTGCAGCATGCATGGCGATGAAGTGGTCGCCCTGGTCTTTCCGCCGCCCCCGCCCCCGCCACCGCCACCGCACTCCGTCCCGGCCTGGTAGTTCATATTCTGGTGGCTGCGCAGGGTGGCCGAGCGCCGCAGTGGCGTTGATGCAGTGGACGCTGCTGCCGTCTTGGTCGGAGTCAGCAGCAGCGAGGTCCGGACCCCTCCGAAGCTGCTTCCCCGCCGGCGATGTCGGCTGGCATCCCAAGTGACCACCGAAGCCGTCTTCGAGATGCTCAGCTTGCGCCTCCCGGGGCAGGGGGTTCCCGGAGCAGCTAGGTAGCCGCTTCCATCGCTCTGGACCGTCAATGAGCTGCTTTGGTTCTGGTTCTGGTTCTGGTTCTGGGTAGAGGCAGAGTGAGGACTAAGGGTTGAGGCGCCAGAGGGCGGGACTCCTCCTCCTCCGTTTGCTGCAGTGCCTCCTGGTCCGGCTATGCCCGCACTCACACTGGAGGTGAGGGCCTTTTTATTGCCGCTGCTGCAGAGAAGCAGTTCCATTTCACTTGGGGAACTACTCACCGCCGTTGTGGTCGTGGTCACCCGGAAGGCGGATGAAATGATCTTTACCTCGGCCGTCTTCACACAGTTCTGCAGCGGCCGATCTCCGAAGTAGGGGCACGTGCACACGGAGGGCAGCTGCAGGTAGTCCGACTGGTGGCTTGGGCCTCCAACGTGGCACTGCTTCGCCTGCGGTGGATCCAACTCGGTATCCGAGTGACAGCCCTTGCCAGTCGCTGTCGACCTCAACCTCGACCGTCGATCACTGTGCGCCGTGGTCTCCTCCTCGCCGACATCGTCGTCGTCGATGCTCTCCTGTACGGTGGTGTGTCTTGTGTAGAGCGCATTCTTGGGCAAACTGTTGTGCCGTTTGTGGCGCCTCAGCGTCGTTGTTGGGGTGTCCGGATCCTCATCCGCGTCGTCGATGCCAGCGCGGCGTTCACGCCCCGGAACTGCAGACGAGGCCCGACGACGATTCTTGTACGCTCGCAGGCGTTGCGACAGCTGAGAGAGTGTGCTGAAAAGAGTATAAATTAAAGGTAAGGTATTAAAAATGGCTAAAAATAAAGTCAAAAGTTTTCCAAAATGACTCGGACACAGAATATGCAAGGACACAGCATCTAAGGATCACTTGCCATCGGCGACAGCTACCAGTCCCGTGGAACCTTCGCGAAGGCAGTTGAACAATTCTCTTAGCGGGGAAGGTGCTTAAAAGTTGCCAATTACGACGGCTAAGCCGATTAACTGGGATGACCTGATGCCGAATAGGGGGAAATAATTTGCCATAATTAGGGCTTTACGCTATCTCAAGGCGATGGAAGGGGCAATCGATTGGAGCTTAAGGGATGGCAGAGTCTAGAGTTAAACTTTCACTGAAAGCTTGTCCCCTTCGTTTTCCCTTCGGATCCGCTGAATAGTGAATGAATCAACTTGGGTAGGTAACTCAAAAGAATAACCAGACTTAACAATTAATTAATTAATTAACCAATTAATAACAATGGAATTATGAAATTGGAAAAGTTTATTCTTCTGCTAAAATCAATCTTCCGAGAGTACCAAATTTCGTAATAAGATTTCGAGACTTTTTACCATGTGGCGTCTTTCCCTAATTCTATTCGCCTGTTCTGCCTGAATATTTTAATTAAAATTTGTATAGTCCGAGCGAATGGGCTAAACCTATTCCGAAAGGTGCTCTGTGCTACGCTACGCAGAAGCATCCGTAAGCCAACCCGCACTCAACCACACGCTTTGTGGTCATCGTGTTGCTGCGTCCCGATCTGTTGTTTCACGCTGGAGGATGGCGAAACATTGTTTCATGTTTGCGTTTTGTGGTTTCCCGCTGAGCTGGGCTCGGCTGTGCTGTGTCTGTTGCTGTTGCTGTTGCCGCTGCAACATTCTTATTCTGGAGGGATTCTCCTTGCTTCTGGGTGGCAGGGCGCTGAGGCCTGAGCTCATTTTGCATTCATTTTAATAGAGCGCATAAATTTCCACGTTGCCTTTGCGGTTTTTGTCTTGCCGCCATGTTGCTTTGCAAGCAAACTTTATTTGGCAACGGCAGAGACGGGGCACGGCGACTAAGGGGAGGGGCCTGGTTGGCTGCTAATGAAGGCGTTAGGCAGACACGGAGAGCGACAGGAGCAAGTGCAGGGCAGAGCAGAGCAGGCACTACGAAGATGGAGGATAAAGATGTCAGCTCATTATGCATCCTTCGCGTTTTTGATTTGTTTGCACAAGACGTGCGCATAAATTGAGATGCGTTGAGACAAGGCTAAGCAGGGACGATGTCGGAGGAGCATACAGGGAGACCGGCTGACAGGGAGACAGGGAGACAGGGAGACAGGAAGACATGGCAGAAGGAGCTGCCCAACTTCTCATTATGCAAGTGAAACAAAGCCGGCTGACGCCAAGTTTGATATTGTTTCAGCCACAAAGGAATTAAACAGCTGCCAAGCTCATCAAGACGTTGCTGCAGGCTCCCAGCGGAGGCTGCCGATGCCAACTTTCACATCCACACACACAGACACACAGACTCGGCCCCCCCCCAGTCACTTCCGCCGTTGTCATTGTGCGAAAAAAAGTCCCGAAATTAGAATACTGGCTGACAGAGCAGCCACAGAAACCAAAGCCAACATCATTTGTTAGCTTCTTTGGGCCTGTCAGAAGTGCATGAGGCGACAAATTTTCAAACAATTAAAAGCTCCCGACTCAACCCGTCCCGGCTGCGTCTTCGACCTCGTTCTGGTCTGGTCTCCTTTTTCAATGCAGAGCAGAGCCACTTTGGGCCTCCAGAGCGGACAAAAAGCCACTGAGAGCTGAAATCCATTTTATTGATAGCGCAAATTCGTTCAACTGTCAAGCAAACTGGCAAATATGAAGGCACAATGCCCCCTCCCCCAATGCCAGCACCAATGCCGCAAAAAAGCGCACAGTCAGAATGAATCATATTCGAACGTGAAACGTGCCGCAGGAGGCTGGGGATACACTTTAACCCAATTTAATGTGCTCAGATGAAATTTGTTGGGGACTTGATTCAAGTCGATGTATATAGCAAAATAAAGTTGGCTCTAAAGGGGTCACTCTTTTAGATATTGTCAGTTATTAATCAGATACATTCGTTAGTTTCCTTTACTCTGATATTGGCTAATGGATGTTCCATTTTAACTGAGATTAACAAGACAACTTTACATATTTAAAGTATCCAATCGAAACTACACCATTGATATATGTATTACTTTAAAGTTTAGGAAATTTTAAAGTTTTTTTAAATGTTTTTGTTTGCGATTTAGACATTTGTTTTTGAACAAATCTTCAATCGAAATTTTCAACGTATTTCCGAAGGAATTTCACATCATAAGCGATTGCTGCTCTCATTTCCACTTCACTGCCCCCATTGCCATGACCTTCCTATTCGTTCGATCGATCCATTCTAATATTCCCATGAATAGCAGGAAAAATGTTTGCTTTCTACTATTCCAATTTTTTAATTGAATTTCTCGGCGCCTCTCTTATCCCAGCATAAGCCAGTCAACTAAAATTAGAAAATTAATGAAAAACACATTTAAGCAAAAGGCCTCAGCCTCAGTCGACGCGTCGAAGCTGGCGCTGGTCCCATGCCCAATGGGGCTGCGCTGGGCCGGGCCTGACGTCGAACGAAATCACTTGAGCAGCTCAAATGCCAAATAAATGTGGAGTCCCGCCACATCCGTCCCTCCGCCAACAAAGGGAAAACGAAAAAACGAAAAAACGAAAAAATTAATTATTACGAAAAATTGCACAAGTCAAAAGCGGAAGGACAATAAAAGGCAATGCCGCAAAAAGGAGCACACACAGCTAAGAAAAGAAAGGAGAAAAGTAAACGAGTCACAAAGCAACGAAAACGAGAGGAGGACTTGAGGTGAGCCCGGCCCTGCCTTTTGGCGTGGTCACCACTCTCGGACCTGGGACCTGGGACAGACCTGGGACAGGGACTGGGACTGGGACTGGAAAACAACAAAAGAGAGTCAGTGACTAGAAAGGATCACTCGAACAAAACGGTTTGCTGGTAGCAGCTGTTTGTCCTTTTAACAGTTAAGGAGACGGAAACTTCACATTTTCCAAAGTACTTCCCAGGATATCGTCACAACATTAAAGCTGCTTACTCTCTCAGTGGGTATAGCAGAACATTATTGCTATTTTCAGCATATTGGGAAGCTAAATTTGCATAATTTAAGATTGATTTATTTTTGTGCATACTCGTTTGATGTTGCGTTTGGAATAAGCTTGGATTTTGGATAAGAACTGACTTCAAAGGGGTGAAGAGTCTCCCAAATTCGTCGAAAATCCCAGCGTCTCTTGTTTATTTGAATTGCTTTCATTTGTCGCGCCTCTTCCTAGACCCCCTTCCAGGCAATTATAAATTCAATGGGCATCCCTCCGAGCCGAGCCGAGCCCTACTTACCCGTCGCTCTGGTCTCCTCCCAGGCGGCTGCTGGCCAAGGAGTTCCGGGTGCTTTCTCGCTCTATTCCCAGGGTTGTGGTTGACAGTCCCAGAATTGTGGTTCCGTGCCGACCCTTGGGCGAGGTCTGCTGGTGGTAGGCGCTCCCCTGCAGATGCTGTGGCTGCGGCGGCTGATGATGGGTTGCATAGCGCTGGGGGCTGCTGGGGAACTGTAGGTGGTTCGATATGGAAAATTCGGACTTGGTGGGCGATCCTGTGGTGGAGGAGGAGCCCACCGACTCGAGGCCTCGTGAGAGCTTCAGCATCTCGGCTCCGAATTGATGCAGTGCTGTCATTGTGGTCGGCGTCGGCTCCTTGATGCTGTGGAAGTTAATAATAGATGCTATATTCCGATTGCCAGAAGCTGTGCAGAATCACTAATGGGAGGGCTCACCTGGAGTCCGGCAGCCAGAGCTCGTGATTGTCCAAGGTGCTAAGATCCGTATCCGTTGAATTGGCCGAGTGGGCGTGCAGCACGGAGGACGCGTGACCTGGGCCCGGTTTCAGCAGACGACGCCAAGTGCATCGTCGTTCTGGGGGAAGGGAAGCGAAGAGCAAGAATGCACAAAAGTCACAAATGCGCTAATAAATTCGCACGAGTACACAAACTCCCCAACACAATCCCCTGCGCTACTCACACAAAAAGAACAATCTACAAAATCCCTCTACGTGCCAAATGGCGGCGCTTTACTGCAGGGATTTGGCTTAAAGTAACTGCCCAAAAGCCAGCACCCCCCCCACCCGCCACACACTAATGCACACACACAGTGCCATATAGCATCAGCGTCACTCAAGCGAAAGGCTGCCGCGCCGTGCCCTTAAACGCTCGTTTGGCCCCACCCGAGTGCCCTGCAATGCATGTGATTCCGGCTGCAGCCGGGCCGCAGAAAGAGTACATTTAATATTCCCATAGCGCATTGACTGCTGGCATGCGGAGCCCCCCAGTCCAGCCCAAATACTCGTGGTGGCCCATGGGCTGGGTGCTTACTGTCCTTTAGGTGCTAACTGATGGCATACAAAATGGAGCAGAAGTGAATCCATTTAGAGCGTAGACAGGACTATTAGGAACGCACTTAACAGTGCTGAGCATTTTCTGATTTTCGCGGACGTATCTAGCAGTATGCGAAATGTTTCTAGAATCGAACAATAAATTATACAAAATTCAATGTGCTGAGTGTTTATTATCGCAAAAAATGTATCGCAAAAAATGCTTAATCGGCACGTTTATTTGTGGGTAGGTGGGTCTTTTGTTTTCGATTGCTGGTGAGAACTAGTTCAATTGGTTTTAAGAATTATATATTAAATGACAATTCTAAGAAAAGCTATGATACCCCATGGAATAGATCCTCTTCTGCTATTAATACATTACGAATATCTGGCTATCGGTAACAGCATTAAATGCGATTAGTTATTGGAGATTGACCGCATAAGCTCATTGAAAGTCATCGATAAAATTCTAAAACCCTTTCGCCCTTAGAAATATTTTCAATTGAAAGGGATGATATGTACGAGTGTGTGACCCACATCAAAAAGTTTCAGCTTGAAACTCCGAATTCAAAACAAGTCGAGCACCTCTGAAACCCTCTCTCTCTCTGGCAGCATTACAAGCCATTTGCTATGCCGGGTTTCCATTTGGGGCACGTCGAAATTAGCTATCTTCACAGACGAGAATGTATAGGCTGGATTTCACTAGTGCGAGTGTGTGAGTGGGCGGGTGTGAGTGTGTTTACTCTTATCCTCCCGGTTCAATGTCGATGGCTATGTCGATTCTGTGTGCATTGCTGCGGCTTAGCCCCACTTTGCGCCCCAGCACCCCGCCTTTTCGAATTCATGGGATTCGGATACTGGAAGTACTCCCCCACATGGCTGTGCATTGTTTGTCTAGCCCACCCCCGACGACACCTTCTCCGTCGCTGGCAGCCCTTTTTCGAGTGCCATGCAAAGTTCTTAGCACATGGCACAAAGAAAAACGAAAAAAAAGTGCAACCAAAAAACGAAATGCAAATTTTAGGCAAACTGAAAATCATATTAAGCCCAAGCCCAAGCCCAACAGCTCTTCGTGGCACTTGCTTTGTAGCCAGTAAGGGACCACGAAGGGAAAAAGGGGGAAAAGGGGGAATAGCGACGCTTACCCAAGGCTGGAGCCTGCCCCAGCCACCCGCTGGCCCAGCCGGGTGTGGCGGCTGCCGTCTGGTGGCCACCGCCCAAATTCTGGCGCTGCCGGGCCAGCAATCGCACGGTCAGACAATATGTCAGCAGCATCACGCCCAACGGAATGTAGAAGCAAACAATGGACCCGACGAGCTTGTAGACCGGATCCGGTATCTGGCAAGTCCCATTCACTAGCACCGAGGCATGATTCTGGAATCAAATGAAAGAAAGCAAAAGAGGAGAGAAGAGAAGAGCAGAGCAGAGTGAGCATAATGAAAAATACAAGATGTAAAAAGATTTGCGAGTAATTAAAAAAATATTTAAAGCGAACGCGAACATATTCAACTAAATATTCTCCAAGGATCAAAGGCACATTTTAAAGACAGAAACTTTACAAGCAGCTCTTTACGTTTCAGTCGAATTCACAATATTCACAGTAAATACTCGAATTACTCACCTTGGAATACATCAAACTGAGAGGCAAACTCATGGCAATGCTCAAAAGCCAAACGAAAACAATCTTCAGGGTGACTCTTCGTCGCGTTTTATTCCGACCAAATCTCATCGGGTAACGGAGCGATAAATAACGGTCCACGGAGATGGTGCACAGATGCATTATGCTGGCCGTGCAGAAAAGGACATCCAGGCAGATCCAGGTCAAACAGTGCTCGGACCCCAACGGAAAGTATCCTGGTGAAGAAGAGTAGCAGAGCGGTTTCGCTTTATATTAGGTGGACTTGTAAATATTCTGCCCCTGACTTATGAACCCATAAAGTGGTTACAATATTTTCCTCCTACATGCATACATATACTAGTACTATGTGGATACTCCAATGCAGTCTAGAGGACCCACCAGCTCCAACTGTCGCCAGGCCATTTTTATTTAATATATCTTCGTTTTTCTGGCCATATTTTGTTCACTACTCCCCTGCCTCTTCAATCGGATGCTGCCAAATGATATTGCCTGGTGCCCCAGGGGGCTTATGCAACATATTTGTGCCACCCATACGAGCCGATAGTCGAGCGCCTGCCCCTGCTTCTGCTTCTGCCGCTGGCCAGCTCTGTGGGCGCTATGGACATCGTTTTGCGCAGCTGTTGGACGCCATAACTCAGCGAGTTTCCCATGTCTGCCAGTCCCTACCATAAAAGTACAATTGTTCCTGCAAGGAAGGGGCCTGGGGTGGGCATGTGAGTTGGATGGGGGGCGTATCGAGTGAGTGATACTTGTGTTTACCCTGTTGTGGTGCCCTGGGTGCGTGTGCCGGAGATTTGTGCGCGGGATTTGTGTCCAAAATCTGGCTCCACATGTACACACGGATGCCACAGGGTAAAGGCAGCCCGTGGCAATGGCTGGGTCGATAAAAGTATCCAGCAAAAGGGAATTGGGGTTCCATCGGTCAAAAATTACTTGCTCTTCCCATTTAACCAATTTCAAATTTTTGAAATAGCCAGCTTTGACAAATTGAGTTAATAATGTAATCGAGGACTTACCCATTTCTCTCAATTTCCATTCTCCCAGCTCACTGCTCACTGCTACCTCGGGGCACCAGTATCTGTTGCATGCCGCCACCTGCCACCCACTTCCCGCCCACTAGCATCCATAAAGCTTTGTTTATGGCCAGCCAACGTTTGCCACATTGCCCCACCCATCCCCACAATCGGATTCCATAGGCGCTCAAATTGCAATAATGTTGCCTGTTCCAAAGACCGAAAAGAAAATGCTACAAATGACACGGCCATTGAGCCGGGCTGAAAATGGGCCGGTCCCAGACGATTTGTGTCGTAAGTAAAGTGTCAATAAGATCAATTTGGAGAGCAGACCGTACGGTTGGGCCTTTAAAAGGGAACCAAGCCTCCAGCATCCAGCATCCAGCATCGAGCAAATTTGTTTAAGCTGCAAGCTGGAAGCCGACAGTCCAAAGAAATAGGGGAGCAAGTTAAATTAAATGAAATCTGGCTTTGGCCGGGCAAAAAAAGGAAACTAAAGAACATTTTTAGCAGGAACCTGAGATTCGGGTCGCTCCCGCTTTATCCGGATGCTCCTCCCTTCCTTTTGCGCCGACTCAACGGACAAGCTGAGGTCTGACCGAGGACAAAGCTTTTATTTGTGTTTTTGTTCCCTTTTCTTTTTTTTGGTGCTTTTCTTTCGAAAAACATTTCAACTTACAAATGCGAAACAAATTTCAAACAAAAGCGCAAAACTTTGCTGTTCCCCTGCTGGAGTCAGGGTAAATAAATTTGTAGCTGATTTCTTTTGTGTGGATTCGCTTTGCATGCCCTGTGGGTGTGGGGATGGGGCTGGTGCTGGTACTGGGGGTTGCCAGGAGAAGTCGGCGGGCAAAAGAGTCCTCATAAAACTAAACTGAAACACAAATAGCCGTGGAGGCTGATGACGAGCAAAGTTGGCGGGAAAATGACTTGGTAAATGAGTTGAAACTTATTTAATTTGTTGTAAGTTTAAGTGGATAGCGAGAGGGGTTCTGGTTCTGCTTCTGCTTCTGCCATGCTAATGATTCGTCAGCATTCCAAACGGAGTGAATGACAAACCAATGTCCAGCTTTTTTCAGAAAAAAACATTCACACACACATATGTATGTATATATGTGTGTGTAACTATTGTTTGACCCCCACCATCGCCATCGCCATCACCATCACCACAACAACATAAGCTTTTGTATGTGCCGGAGCCGCTGAGGCAGCAGCAACCATAGCAAATATTTGAACATTTTTCCGCGTTGGTGAACTCACGCAAACAGTTATCGCAAAACGCCGCAAGCGGTCAAATCGGGTCGGGAATTGGAGGAAAATCGAGGGAACATATGATTTATGAATGGACAGCAGATTCCTGTGCAAGGAAGGCTGTGTGTCTGTGTGTGTGTGTGTAATGAAATCCTTTGTGGCTGTTATTGTTGTTGCACGGCATCGATTTCAATTTTCGGCTTCGGCTCTGCCCCTTTCTCGCATGCAACTTAAGGCACAGCATCATCGTTTCATCATCAATTAGATACATCAATGTACGAGTATGTATCTTTAAACTGTTTGCCCGCTAAATGAGCACAGCAGGGAGGGGAATGACTGTCCAAAAGGGTTCGGACTTTTTGTTTGGTTATCTGAATGCTCTAAGTGGATTTTCCCGATCAATAGTATCTTAGGAGTACAATGTGAAAGGGGGGAAAGAGTCTGATGAGATATAAACTATGCTATGATTGGGATTGGGATATATCCGCTGCTACATCAGACTTAAGTATAATAACACTAATTTTATTGTATTTAAAGAATATTAAAAAGCTTATACTTCTGATATATAATCTACAGTGATGGAAATTCATACTGGAAGCAAATATTGGTTGGGTATTTTTTTAGAGCCTTCATAAGGTCCAATCTAGTAAGTAAGTAAGGACACAGTGAGCGATGCTTTAAAAGAATTTTGGAAAAATACTAACGAATGGAAAATAGAAGATAAAACTATGTATTTGAGGAAAAGCATTTCACTCATCTAAACACACTAAATGTATCTTCAGTGTTTGTTGTACATGTCACACAATATTTATTTAATTCAACACCTAGCATTGAATACAGAAACGTGCGTAAAATACTGGGGGTTTCAAAAATTAAGAAAAAAATATGTAATCAAATATTTGGCAACAGACACTCCTTGAAAAAGATATGCGAGACTTCTTCGTTTTTCTATAGCTTTAAATTCAATTTGTTTTATGCTTGGAAAAGCTTTGGAATTATTTGGCAAACAAGCAAACAAAATAAACATCAGCATAAATCCCAAACCAATCAAAAGTGAAATATCAAATACCTGTCACCAAATAAAGCTCGAACAGCCCCCATCCCACCCATTCACCCATTCACCTCCCTGCTTCCACTCCTTTACTTACATACCCAAAAATAACACTAACACAATTCAAATGATTTGTGTCAATAAAAAGGGCGCGCGGTAATAAAATGCAAATACATATGAGAAAAGGAAAAATCATTGAGCGAAGACTTTGAAAATTGCTGTGATTATAAAATAAGCCAACCGAACCCAATTCGCTGCTGCCACGCCACGCACAATTGCCGTGGATACTCGTTGTGCTCCACAAACCAGCAACAATAACAATTTCCATAGCAAATCTGAGAAATAAGAAAACAGCACAAATGTGTGTCGGAGTCGGAAACGTAGGCCACGCGGAGAGGAGAACTGGTCCCGTTCCCTGGCATGTGTCAGCCACAGGCACTTACAACAGCGATAACAACATTGGATAAGTGTGGGGGAGGAGGAGCAGTTTTGAAGCAATCGGCCAAGTTAAATAGATAGATGACAGGAGGCCAGTTTTGAAGCGATCTGCGATGCCGAATAATCAATTATTTAGCGCGATTTCTGCTCTCAGGAACATCTTTAAATTTTCCTCTAATTGGGCGCACTTTTATGCCTGCTGTTTTTTCCAGTACAATATATATATGTCTGTGTGTGTATGTGTGTGTGTGTGCTTTGACTGCGTGGGTGTACGAGCAACCCGCGGCGCTTGTTGACACGTTGTCACCTCTGCTGTCATCCAAATTTATGGGGTGCAGTGTGAAGGTGGCAGAGGGGCCCCGAGTCCGCGGGGGCTTTTACGTGCTTCTTTTTGCCAGCTGACAGCAGTTTTTGACTTTTAGCCCGTCTGCATGTAAATACATATCATTTTCATTTGCATTTCTCGCGTCCCGCTGACGTGTGTACATATGTATGTAAGTATTATTTGCATATTCATATGGATGTACATATGTACGTATGTATTTGGGAATCTGTGACCCTCGCGAGATGTATTTGGATTGTTTCTTTTATGGCGCCGTCGAGAAACAGGGTAGAAAAGAGTATATGGGACTAAACACTGTAGATCCACATTTAAATCTCCTTTTAAACGTATTTAAAAAGTATTAAATGCCTGGCTACAGCTAAATATAGAATATCTGTCTCATCAAAGACACTATTAATCTCTAGTTTCAATTGTATGTGTTTTGATTTGGATTTTTCCATTTTGTTGTCAAGGCATATCACAAGGTCGACCCAACTCATCGTTAAAAGATTTGATGTACAAAAATATTGTAAAAAAACATTGTTGGATGTCCAACCAAATGTTGATGCAGCTGTTGCTGCTGCTGCTAACAACCGTTAGCCGCGTTTGTTGTGGGCGTTGTTTCTGTTTGCCAGTGTGGTCAAATATTTGCGTTGACAGCATGCAAAAAAGTGTTGCCATGGGAAAATCCCCCATGGGATTGCAGATGCACTTCTTCTTTAATGAAAATATTGTACGCTGCGGGGGACGCAGAGAGGGATTTAGGTACTGTGTGACTCGCACTTTATTTGTGGGCTGCTGCCATGATGTGTGTCATGGGAATTATTGTGGCTGGAGTTCATACAATAGTTGAAAGGGATTTATGAATTAATGTATTATTCATTTATGAGGAAGTGGAAGGTGCACTTTGATTTAAGACACTTATGAATATTGCAATTTAAAAGCTTTTACCGTCAATAGAATTTTAATTTAAAGTAAATCCGCAAAGTTCATTTTTGTTATGATTTCATTAAAAGTTACAAGTCGCAATGTTGTTTGAAATTGTTGAATTTTTCTTCAATACCTTTCTACTTGAGACACTTCAGTACCACCTGAATGGAATGGAATCCCTTCAACTGATTTTTCATGGTCTGAAAATGC